TCTCTGTGTCTCTGTGTCTCTGTGTCTCTGTGTCTCTGTGTCTCTGTGTCTCTGTGTCTCTGTGTCTCTGTGTCTCTGTGTCTCTGTGTCTCTGTGTCTCTGTGTCTCTGTGTCTCTGTGTCTGTGTCTCTGTGTCTCTGTGTCTCTGTGTCTCTGTGTCTCTGTGTCTCTGTGTCTCTGTGTGTCTGTGTGTCTGTGTGTCTGTGTGTGTGTCTGTGTGTCTGTGTTTCTGTGTGTGTTTTGAAGCACTGGCATGAGCAAAGTTTCAAAGGGTTGAAGAAGACATAGGCATGCCATGCTAATCTGTTGCTGGTACCTGGAGGTTATCCATACCATCCCAGTGGGCAGATCGCTTCTGTTTGGTGGAGTGCAAACCTAAAGCGCTCCGGAAGGCGGTCTCGGCCAATCCAGCACATTCCAGTGCCTCATGTTTGTCCAATATGGTCCGTACATTGGCCGCCGCACATCTGATCTTGGCTCCAGCTTGATCCTTCTCTTTCTTTTGACAGCGCTCAGAAGCCATGGCTAGTTGGCTTCTGCGAGGCGTGCGGTCTGGGTGCAGATGAATCGCGAAGCAGTTGTTGTAGTCAGCTTGAGTGGACACATGGCAATGTCAACGTCTAGATAGAAGCGAACAGGCTTGGCAAAGAAAAGGCATTCCTAGGTTCAGGATAGCATACTTTGGCACCTGCAGGTTTGAGGTTAGAACTGCAAGCCAAATGCAGTCGGGTGACTTTCCGTGGATTGCTGGATGGCATGCCGCCGTGTGCCAGAGTGCCAAAGTGCCAAAGTTGTGAGCAGAACGTATTGGCCTGAAGATTTGATTGTATATGTATGATAGAATCCCTCAAAACGCTCTGTGCCAAGCGACCAGTTGTCCACCACGTGCAGTTGTTCCTTGTTTCTTAGCCTTTGCCACCCTTCGCGGAGATGGTGTGTGCTCAGGAGACGCCAGCCAGAGAGAGTAGAAGCAACACGCTGCTCGTTGACTGAGATTTAATGATCAGGTCTAGCTATTGTGGAAAACAAAGCAAGCTTCTTGCTTCTTTGAAGCCGAGCATTATGCCCTGGTGCATCCTGGTGCATTTGCAATCCCTTCGGTTTAATCTGTTTCGTCTCTCACAAGGGCAGCAATTCATCAGACAGCTTTGCCGTATACGTGTTGGTTTTGAGAAGCCCAAACACGTGCAGGGCCATTTGAAAGTTCACGATACCAAAATCAAGAGGGCCCCATTTCGAGGGCATTTTAAGGTAAGGGTTTTGGATGCTTATGTACCACCAATAAAAGCTGGTAAGGCAGTATACACCCCATGTTAGTATATAACCTCCATACCTCCCAAACCCATACCTGACAATGCCCTTGACCACTATGACCTGTCACCTGTAACCTGGATCTGTTTTTTGCTCGCAACCCGTGCGAGTTTCGGGTGTGTGCCCTCGAATCAGATGTCAACACTCTAGATCGAAAAGCAAACAAAAGCAAAGCCCGAAATCAGACCCTAAATCAAAGCCTCAACAAAACCCGTTTCCCTTTTAAAGCCATGCGGCGGGAATTATTCGACTAGGCTTCGTGGCCTCCTCCGTGGTGCGATCTTTCTGCCGGGGAGCCCCAGTCGCGCCGGGGTTTCCGTTGGTCCGCACCCCCCCACCCCACCCCACCCTCTTCCGAGGTTCGCCAAATTACTTTTTCGGGTTTGCCTTTGAAGGATTTAGAGGCGACAATTCGACGGTGTCGCTTTGGTGGGCCTGGTCCAAAGGTCCGAGACACCTGCCGTTTTTTTGGTTTTGGCACGAGTTGAGGCCGTTGTTTTTGGGTTGCGGAGCTCCAGGTCTCAGAAGACCCCAATTTTTGTTGCTTGTGATTTCAGGTGATTATATATATATATATAATATATTGTATAGTTTGTTTTTCGGACCCCCTCAACAAAAAAAGATGGTTGTTCTCCTATTGGTTTCCCTTTAAAACCACAAGAAAGGGGGTGCAAAAAAAGACAGGCCCATATGAAACGGGTGACCGATGAGCGTCTCATGAGACAGCCAAGTTCACCCGTCAAAAATGGGGGGAGGGGGGGGGCGGCCTTCCTCAATCTGTTGGATGGGAGGAAAGGGGACGGCGATAGGGGCTCCCAGCGCCGCACAAGCACCCAAGTCTTAGGCCCTCTTAGGGACGAGAAAGATAAAAAAGGATGCATGGAAGCGAGCTCAGAATTCAAGCAACGTGTGGTGACGGCTGTTGCAGTTGCTTTTTTGCATGCTTGACGTCTTTTTGCAAGGTGCAGATGATGCCAAGCTTTTGGCAGAGGACAGCGAATGCACAGCAGAGGAGTGTGCTTTGTGCCATGGTGGCAAGAGCAGTCTGGTGGCCGGCTCGCTCGCTTTCTTGCGTGGTAGGGAGAGAATGCCTCCCGGTTTCACAGGGGATGGCCCACTTCACCTCGTTGGTTTGCGGGGCAGGGATTCCGGGCCCAGGTTTCTTTGTTTAATCATCAGTCTTGATTGTACTCCTTGTGGTAGCCATTGAATTTACCCCGGCGACCGTGATGCGTCGGATATGGTCCGCGAGCACACTATGATTTCCAGAAGCTCGAGGTTTAAGAATTCCGATTCCGGGATGAATTTGCTTGCGTCCTGAGGGGCATTGTTAGTAAGTGGGTAGTTATAACCTGCTTGCTATGGCTATAAGTCTCCGTTCATTGGGTTATAGCCAGGTTTGGTCTTGGCGGTGCACCTGCCATGCGAATCGCAAGCCCAAGCCACCGCCCGGACCGAGGAACGCGCTGCAGCGCCACGCCAAAGCCAAGGCCACTCCCATGGCAGCAGACGCCTGGACGCAGTGCGGCGGCGCTTCCTGGAAGGCGACGTCCCAATGGTTGCCCTGTCTTGGGAAGCTACGGGTTGCAACCAGAATCGGAGCCTTTGGCGCCCAAACGCCTCGTCCTATCTCCGACAAGAGTCGAAGCCAGATCGAAAATGACCCATGAAACCCAGCCCTTGCTCCCTGAAGGGCCCCACCGCGTGCACAGCCGGCCTCTCGGCTGCACAGAGGCTTTGCTCATATCTCCTGTCAAGACCGTGCAATGTTGATCTAGTCACACCGTGTTCTCCCTGCTCATTCACAGCTTTGGCCTTTGGTGCGGGTTGCAAAGCTTTGTGCAAGGCCAACTCGGGCGTAAGATATGCTCTTGAAGGTTTGAACCAACAAGCCGGAGAAAAAGAGAGAAGCAACAAAAACAATCACACAAAGCAAGCACCAAAACGAGCACACAGGCACGCAGACACAGAGACACGCAGACCACACACACACGCGGACGGGGACACGCGGACGGACACACGCACACGCACACGCACACGCACAGACACAGACACAGACACAGACACAGACACAGACACAGACACAGACGCACACACACACACCCACACACCCACACACCCACACACCCACACACCCACGCACCCACGCACCCACGCACCCACGCACCCACGCACCCACGCACCCACGCACCCACGCACCCACGCACCCACGCACCCACGCACCCACGCACCCACGCACCCACGCACCCACGCACCCACGCACCCACGCACCCACGCACCCACGCACCCACGCACCCACGCACCCACGCACCCACGCACCCACGCACCCACGCACCCACGCACCCACGCACCCACGCACCCACGCACCCACGCACGCACCCACGCACCCACGCACCCACGCACCCACGCACCCACGCACCCACGCACCCACGCACCCACGCACCCACGCACCCACGCACCCACGCACCCACGCACGCACGCACGCACGCACGCACGCACGCACGCACGCACGCACGCACGCACGCACGCACGCACGCACGCACGCACGCACGCACGCACGCACGCACGCACGCACGCACGCACGCACGCACGCACGCACGCACGCACGCACGCACGCACGCACGCACGCACGCACGCACAAAGGCACGCACAGGCACGCACAGGCACGCACAGGCACGCACAGGCACGCACAGGCACAGGCACAGGCACGTGCACGTGCACAAGCAGACATACGCACGCAGACAGACACACACACACAAAAAAAAAAACACACTCTCTCTCTCTCTCTCACTCTTGCTTTATGTTGTTTGGCACAGTCAGACTACTTTGTCAGCTAGGTTGCCTCCATGCCAATACATGCCAACACCACTGAATGTCAATTGGGTGACACCTGGAACCCGGAAAACGATAGCCGAGCCATCTAGCCTGGAACATCGTCCTCAAGCCCAAGCCTCGGTTTTGACACTCCCATTCAGCGTGAATCGCGGAAGAGGCACGGGCGGCATGATGAAAACCCACTTTGGGGAAGAGGCACAATCAATAAAAGCGAGCAAGCTGTTCAGGGTCAACTTGAAGCAATGTGAGGGGGCAGGTACAGCAATGCTGGTGGATCTGGGGGCAATTGCATTCCTGGGATTTGCCAGTGAAAGGATGATCGGCCGAGGCAATGAGTGCGTCAAGGACAATGACTGGTACTCCCAGTGCAAGCCGAAGGTCGGGCTGTTTCCTGAGATGCGGACAGATTTAGATGAGAAGTTGGCGTTGTCGAGTCGTGTGCTGCCCTGACTCAAACAACATGCATACTGCTCATAAGCAGCTCGGCAGTTGAACTTTCGCATATAGGGCGCACTGAGGCTGAAATTGGCAGCCTTGTGGGTGCTTGCTGTTTTCCCAGCGGAGAATGCAAAAGGCGTGCAAATATATAATGTACTCTATGCCCTTGCCCACACATGACATTAGCCCACCTTGCGCTTCGGTGTCAGATGGTGTCAGGGGTCTGCTCCAGCAACTCCTGCGACTGCTGCGACTCCTGCGACTTCTGCACCCACAGTGGTCAAGGATGTTGCAGCTTCGCGGTTCAGACTGGAACCCGGACATGGAAAGGTTCGGAGGTCATGCGTCTGACCGCATGTTTGGTTTCCATCTTTCAGTTGCCCTCCCTTCTGGAAGACTACTTTCATTTTGGGGAGCCCTCTGTCCCCCTCCATGGTTGGAAGAGGGTACTCATGCAAACTGTCTTTCCAGCCAGGAGCCGGCTATGAAGACCAAGACTGCTATTCCTGACGCCGATACCGAGACTGACGCCGACGCCGATGTCACGGAGTCCGAAGGTGCGATCGGGTACCACCCGTTGTTTTTTGTTGCTTTGCAGTTCCAGATTTAAGTTGATGTTGAAACGATGTGTTTCGCATAGCCAAATCTTCACAAACAAGCTCTTGTCAGGATTCATGCACTATCAGCGCCTCCATGAACAATCGTTTCGGACATGTCTCACCGCGGAGAGGCCGTGGATTTACCTGGTGCTACGAACCAAAAGGCAGCACAGCATGCGCCTTCTCGAAATCGATGATGATCCTCTTCAGCTTTCTTGTTTCAAGCCACAAATCTGGCTAAAGTGACCAATGATGAAACCAGTTCATCCGGCCTCTGTTGACCGGGGATTGGCAAATGGACTATCAGCAGTCAGGTCGGGAGCTCTACAAGTATGGGTCAGACATACACCCCCAGAAGCCGCAGGCTTTAGTCCATGTCCATTTACCGAACGGGCAACCCATTTTGGGGTTCGCCCCATTTTTGACCCACAGCCAAAGGTTTCCAAGCCCCAGCCGGCTCATCCCAGTCGCCTCCAGGCACGGCCGCCAAGCCCAAGCCGGCCATGTCCTCCAGCGCCTCCGGCCTGCCGAAGCGCCCGCCGCAGCCCGCGCCCTGGCAAGGGACAGTTGCGCCATGGCGTCACCGGAGGCCCTGATCCCGGGATGGAAGCTGCTGGAAATGAAACGGTCAGGAAAGCCGCCGGAATCGGTGGGCATGGAGAAGTCGATAGGACTCACGTTTGGAAGACGGCTGACTTTCAGACCGCGAAAGAACTCTACACAATCCGATGCAATTTGGCTTTTCTGCCGCCAAAAGTCCGTACTTGGGAAGTTCAATGTGAAGGATGGTTGGTTTCTTCGTTTTCGGCGATCTAAAAAGGGGAGCCTAGCTATTGCATGTTGGCGCCCAAAGCCCGCCTGCAAAGAGCAACAGCCCAGAAGCCGAAGACCTATGCGTCGGTGAACCCTATCATCTCCCGCGGCAACTTCCTGTACGACTCAGCGCCTTGGTTGGGCGGGGGCCAGGGTGTCGATTACAGTGCTAGTCGCAGTCCAGATAGCCGGTTGCCAGGACTGTTGGCTCTTTCGCTCGGTCGCTTGCTTGATTAATTGATTCATTTGTCGGCTTTTTGAGTGAGTTGGTTGATCTCGCAGTTGCATCGTTGCTTGACATTGATTGGCGAGAGACATGTTGTTGGTGGTTGCTTGGTGGTGGTTGTTCTGCTTTGGCGCTATGCTACTGCGCCGTCCCTTCGAACGTAATTCGCAGCGGTCCAAATTTACGGCTACAAGCAGATCATGAGCGCTTATTCGTGTGTCTTGCCAAAGCAAGGACTCTGTCGCGTAGATGGGTAACAGCGGGCAGGTGGGCAGCTGGGGGCGAGGGGACGTGTCTTCAGGTTACCGGGAAGCGCTTCTTCGCCAAGGGAGTGGCCTACAACCCTCGCAATGAGACGCTCGGAGCTGGAAGTGTGTAGGCGACACGAACCCAACCGTTGGGTTCGGCCCTGTTGATTGCATCGGTGTAGACCCCACCTACACCATGACTCGTCTTTTTCAGGTTATGGCTCAAAAAGATGCGCGTGGGGGAGGGGGCTTGTGGAGGCGGACAAGCACTTGGTTTCGCACAGAACTTCTATTCACATGACAGTAATTATATTGCTTACCAAATTTAAGTTAAATTTGGTAAGCAATATACTGTCATGTGAATAGAAGCTTTAACAGTAAACCTACTGAATGCGACGGATCTCAGGAAGTACGACAAATCCTTCGGCCCCAGCGTGGTAGTGGAGGGCTGGGTCGACCGCTGCGAGCCTGGCAAGCCCGAGGGAGGCAGCCCGCGTTTCGGTTCGTGGCCACTAGAGGCATTTGAGCAAAGAGTTCGCGTTTTTCTTTTGGAGGCACCGCGCAGGCAATTCTGTAGGCAGTCCAAAAATATGCTGTGTAACCATTTCCTGCGTCAGGTTCGCATAGGCATGTTTTTCCTTATACACAAACTGAAGAGTAGCGCCCGAGAGGAGTCCGCGTGCGCATTCCGCGTAGGCGCTGAAAATGCCAGCCTTCGTGTCAGGTTTAGCCGCCTGAAGCCCGCTGGATTCCACCCTCAGGTCAAAATTTCCAGAGATCCTACTTGGAACTCTTGACTAGGTCCCCCAGTGGTGCCCTTTTACCCCTTTTTTTTGGGGGAGGGTTCCCCTACGAACATAGACTACAGGAAAAAATGATCGGGTACCCACTCATAACCTCTCAAATCCTCAGGACCCAAGGACCTCGTTGACCTCTGCCAGCTTTTCCGCCGCAGGCTACCGGGGCTACACTGCGGACGTGCAGACCGACGCCCTGGAGGACAGCTGGGCCGCTGACCTCGAAGCGCACGGGGCTCGGAGAGCTGACGGCTTCGACAGGGTCAGAAACCCCTGACGCGCAGCTGTTCCCATCCCCTAAGTTGTTTGTTATGTTTATTTTTATGTTTATGTTCTTTTGTTGTGTGTGTTTTTATTTGTGTTACCTATTTTTTCCGGGGGGGGGGGGAGGATAGCCTCCGTGAAGGTTTTTTTTGTTTGGGGGGGGGGGGGCGGGATATCCTCCGTGTGAAAGCTTCAAAGGACGTGGGAAAGGCTTCGAAGCTCAGGAAAAAATTGCGCGTCCCAAAGGGCATTTTCGTATCGAAGCTCGGAGCCGAATTGGATCTCCGAGGATCGCCAACATGGGCGCCAACACCATCCGCTTGTACAACGTACCTTGGCACAAGCGGGTGGGCGACCGGGCGGAGCGGCTGCTTGCAAGACAGAGTGCCTGGATGTTCGATTTGTCAGACACTGGAGAGTGAACAATGGGGATAAAACCAGCCGACCTGGACGATCGAGGTGTCTTTTAATTTGCCTTGGGGACCTTGTACTTGCAGTAGTAACCAGTAGTTTGCAGAGATTCGCGGCTTTCAGAATCACGCGGAATCAAGCGGAAATGATTAAAAATGCGAGATGAGCTCCTGTGGCCTGCTTTTGAATTCACCCATAGCGATGCTCAAGTATGCCTGATTGCAGCATGCAGCGAGAACAAGCTGCCAAAATAGCAACGAGGGCCTGCCTCCAGTTGCACAAGCAACGACCCCTCACCTCTGCGGAGTATACTTCGAGCAGCAGGGCTCAGCCTGCGCCGAAAGGGCAGTGCCCTCGGGGAGGTTGCGGGGTGGGCAAGAATCTATATCTCATGGGGAGGGAGGGGAGGGGAGCCCAAATAAGCCTTATTGGGCCCCCCCCCCCCTCCCCTCCCTCCCGCCCCAGCCCCCATGAATATCAGGGAACTTCCAGAACCATGCTAGGAGGCCCCAGTGAGACCATGTTTGTTCTACCATGTCATGTTTGGCAGCAACGTTTTTGTCCCTGGCAAGCATGCGCCGTCTTTGTGGGATGGATGACTTCGCCCCAATGTTGCCACCGCTCCAACGTGATGGCGCACACCTGATGTAAATTTGGCAACCACCAGCACCGCCCAAGTGCTGCCAAGTTGGCGTCACTTAGAGGTCAAACTCCAAAATTTCCACAAAATAGCACGGAAATACGGGGGCGAGGCGCAGGGCAAAGAGGCAGTGTGACCATACGCACCAACCGCTGCAACAAAAACTGCTCATGACTCTTACCAGCACGGGACCACGCAAACCTCAATGCGCGTCACGTGCGCATCGCTTGCAGGTTGTTTTCTTGGCCTGTGAATCGCGTGCTCGTCGACTCTCGTCGCTTGCGCTTTGCTTCATGTGACTTGGGTGTCGCTTGCATGTCACCTGCATTTCGCTTGCCCCGTGTCGCTTGTGTGTCGCACCGTGTCGCTTGCGTGTCGCCCCGTGTCGCTTGCGTGTCGCCTCGTGTCGCCCCATGTCACCCTGGGTGAAAAGTGCTGCTTTGGGGTCCCAGAGCGCTGTCACTTTGGCTGCGAAAGCGTGTCGCATGCGTGTCGCCCCATGTCGCTTGCGTGTCGCTTGCATGTCGCGCCGTGTCGCAGACGCTTTGTTTGTGAAACTGAATCATATATTGTTTGCATGTGTTCCTGTCCCTGGCTAAAAGGCAACAGCCCTCGGTGACTGATTTCAGGTGGATCCCCAAGAGAGCCACGCCAAGTTCATGAAGAAGGCGGCCTCTCTGGGGCTCTACGTCATCGTGCCCTTGACGGGCAAGGCGCGATGGGCTGCCCGCCCGAGGGCCAGTGCTCACTTTGCTAGCTCGATCTGTTAAGCTTCGAAGAAACAAACTCATGCCATCCAAAGCACAGTCTTGGGGACAGACAACAGACCATTGTGTCAAGTGCGCCCCCTGTTTCATTTCCATCAGGGCTTGCTAAAGATGAGAAACATACCTTGAGGTCTTGGTGGAAAGCATGCCTGCAGTCAGGTTGGTGGTCATGACGCCTTGTCAAACTGGACAGTAGTCGGCTTGAGCGGGCCCCAAGTCTTCTGTGCCCGCTAATTCACATATAGTATGGTAGCTTCTCTGGGAACCTACATTGGAGTCGGAGAAAGAAAAAAAAGTTGTATGTGTCAATGTCAGGCATGATCCCAGGTCTTTTGGATCTATCAAATTAGCAGCACCGCCGCTTGTAATTTGAATGGCAGGAGTGTGTTGCAGGAGCGGCCGCGCAAGTCAAACATGGGGCCGCGCAAGTAAAGCGCAAGTGAAGCGCAAGTGACGCAGTGATGATTCATCATCATCATCATCATCATCATCATCATCGTCATCATCATCCGCATGGTCGAAAGAATCCGGAAGATTGCTAAATTTTCGCGCAAGTCGCGCGCAAGTCGCGCGCAAGTCGCGCGCAAGTCGCGCGCAAGTCGTAGATGCCTTGGATCAGGAGTGTTTCTGTAGTTTGCATTTTCTTTGTTTCTGCAGATCCCAGCAATGGGTTGCAGCAGCAGCCAGCAGCAGCAGCAGCCAGCAGCAGCAGCCGCAGCAGCAGCAGCCAGCAGCAGCCAGCAGCAGCAGCAGCAGCCAGCAGCAGCCAGCAGCCAGCAGCAGCAGCAGCAGCCAGCAGCAGCAGCAGCAGCAGCCAGCAGCAGCAGCCAGCAGCAGCAGCCGCAGCAGCAGCCAGCAGCAGCAGCCAGCAACAATTTGCAGCGGTGTACACACCTGAGACCTCATACACTTAAGGGGCATGTTTTTGGGGGACCTCACTCTTATGAAGACTGCCGCTTGGATTTGCAATGAAAACATCCTGGGATAAGAGTTGTAATACGTTTTTTTTTCCAGCTCACATGAAAGTTGCCATTTAGACTTTAGAGGGGCATTGGTGTTCACTCCCAGAGGACATCCTTCCTGGATGGATTCCCAAGACAAACACCCTCCTTGGGGATCACCCTACTCTCACCAGCAGGAGCACGGCTGCTCGCGCTCGGGCGCGAAAAGTGGGAAAAAAAGGCTGCCCCCTTTTTGAAGGTCGGCTGTTCATAGGGACCCCAATCAAAAATGGCCAGGCATATTTCCCCGTGTCAATTCGATGCCGGACGGGCCGACCGCTCGTTTGCACGGCTAGGACTGGGGCTTCTTGCCAGCCTTCCCAGCGCCGGACTGCTACACTCAGGAGTGAGCCAATGGTTTCCTTTTGGAGATGAGCCTTTTTACGTGCAGGGGCGTATCGATTTTACTAAAAACGGATCGCACTCGGATCGATTCGGAGGTTTCCTTGGGGTTGGGTGGTGGAAAGAGGAGGTGTGACTTGGGCAAAGAGGAGCTGGTGAAGTGGTTTTGGGTACATGTTAGTTCGGTTTGGGATGGCTGTGAAACCCATGATGCAATGCATCGGCCTCATTGCAACAAATGCTGTAAGGTATTGCTGTACTCCAACCACACACACACACACAAGCCAGCATCAGCTTGTGGACCCCTGTGGCCGGTTGTACACAGCAAGATCTTCTCAAGGATGGTTTAATTGGGATGCATGCACAATCTCGACAAACTCGTACAGCTTTTGCAGAATCACAAGTTTGGCGTCCATTTCCAGGCAAAGGCTGAGGAACCAATGCTGTGCATGTGAGTTGTCATGTTGCAGTGGAGCACCCAACTTAGTGACTTTCGGTATGAATGTGTTCGCTAGAAGTTGCTGAGCCTTGATCAATGCTAAATGTTCTGCATGTACTCACTCATTGAACGAGCCACAGCACGATTGTGCAGAAGCACTTGGTAGCTAGACCACGGCTCAACATGTGTGTTGTCTTTTGTTTTTACGTTGGGCCCCCCCCCAAAAAAAAAATGGTGCTTTTCCGGTTGGTTTCTTAACAGAAAAGCGCAAAACAAACGGGGTGCCAACTCCAAAAAAAGGACAGCCTGAAAAGTTTGCCCTGATCCGAGTGAGGAGATCGAAGGATATGGGCATGTGGGCAACAATGTGCTGGCTTTCGCAAAGACGCTGATGAAGGAGCTGCTCAGTCAAAAAGACGAGAGGGGAACCGAGCCCCAACCGCAGGAACCCATGGATGCTTTCAAGCAAGAGCCACAAGGAATTTCAAGGAATCTATCAAAAGCATATTAGGCAGAGAGTCAAGATGAAGAATTCGGGGCACTTGACACTTGACCCATTCATTTTACTCTCTGCGATTTCCGAAGGCAAGTCTGTGCGAGCTCAGAAAGGTTCCCCAACCTCAGTCATCAGTCCTAAGTTGCACTTCTTCACATTGCCGACTCGCAATGATTGATTTCACATCGAGCTGCTGGAATTAGGAGCTTGATTCTTACGGCTTGGGGAATATGGACATGTGCTATGTGCATGTGGGATATTCACCTATGTTTACTGTTGCATAGAGCATATGGGCAATGTACAAAGAAATTATCGCAGCACTGCTGCGAGCGGAACTCTTGTTTTGGCTTCTGTCCAATCCTTGAATGGCCACCCTGAAACTACTTGGTCGAACCGGTAGAGAAAACCTGTTGAGGTTTGGCCGTGGGTCAACACCAATGGTACCATTTTGGGTAGGTGCACCCCCATTTTAGTCCATTTTAGTGGGGATTGGGATGTTCACTGAGAGTACGGGGTTTTGACCCATAGCCGTTTGTTGCAGCGTTGCTCTGCAAGGTTCGGCCAGTACAACAATACCTTGATGTTCACCGCTGCCAATGAGCTCGCGCAGCTGGACAAGACGCCATGCTGCAGATACTGCAGCAATGAAGTCCAAGCCTGCGTGGCGTGAGTTTGTTGGCATATAGCTGTTCGTTGCTTGCTTGTGTCTTTGATTGCGTGTGTTGTGTTGTGCTGCGCTGTGTTGTGTTGTGGTTGTGCGTTTGCGTGAGCATGTACGCAAGCGCGTGTGTGCGTGCGTGCCTGCGTGCCTGCGTGCCTGCGTGCGTGTGCGTGTGTGTGTGTGTATGAAAGAGGGAGAGAGAGAGAGAGAGAGAGAGAGAGAGGACGCTGCTTAAGTACTGGTGCTGGTGCACCCCCATTGTTTTGCAATGCTGTCTATTTTGTTCGAATTGTGGTGCGAGGGTGGGTTCCACTATATGTTGCATAAGAGCTCAGGAACGGCTACGCGGCGTTTCCCTGCGTCAAGGCGTTTGTGCGGGACCTGCACAACTACCAGGCAATGCTGACACCTGCGGGATTTGGGTGCTTGTAGCAACAACGCGTGTCGATTGAGTGTTGCAAGGTTCCTGGATCCTTCACAAAGGTGCCCTGGTGGTTTCCTTGCTGCGAAAAAGGGTCCAATTTTTACACATTCACGTGGGGGTAATTGGTGCACGACACATTGACATGTTACTGTGAAACGGATGCCCTTTTCTGCAGTTTTTGAACGCAAAAGCATACGTGATTTATGGCAAACCAATGAAGAGTTCGAGACGCCCGCAATGGTTGTTTCAGGAAAGTATGTGCATGCCTGTTGCGTTTCGCAATGCCAGAAGCCAACATTTTAGCATGCCTAGCGATTTTCCCCTTGCTATCGGAGCCTGGTCCATCACATGCAGATGCGCTTTAGCCTCAAGTGTTCACATGCCACTGAGTGTTGCGGAACGCTCATTTTATGTTCCTCTAAGCGAACAATCTTATGTTCGTGTTTCTCATTTTATGTTCCTCTTTGTCTGATCTTGAATTTGCCACCTCTAAGCTTCATCCAAGCCTTGCCTCCTTTCGAATTCAGAAATGTTCTATGGTTGAGCCAAAGGGTTCGCAGCGAATGTGCTGGTAAAAGGAAATGTCTCTTTGTGGACCTGGCTGAAAGCAGTGTGTTTTGTACCATGATATTGCCTCAGGATCCTGGAATGCCAGTGCCATACACAGGGCATGGGACCTGCAAAGAAGGAAATCAAGCAAACACTGAACAAGGCCTATTTTGAAATCACCTGTGCACTGGTTGTTCCAACCAGCCTCACCGCAGGATGAGTGCAAGAGCACGATGCGAAGCTGGGCTGCATTGTGGGGCCCTCTCCGACAACGATGCTGGCTGGTCACTGGATACGCCTAACGGCCGGCCTAACCATTCACCATAGCAATATATTGCGAGATACTTAGAGGTGTGCCTCTGCGTGTGTGTGTGTGTGTGTGTGTGTGTGAGGGAGGAGGAGGCAGGGCACCTCATCATCTCGTTTATGTTTACTGTCATCATTTTGTTCACCCTCGGTTTTATCTTCATCTTCGTGGTCTTCTTCTTCTGCTTCTTCTTCTCCTTCTCCTTCTTCTTCTTCTTCTTCTTTTCCTTCTCCATCTTCTCCTTCTCCTTCTTCTTCTCCTTCTCCTTCTTCTCCTTCTCCTTCTTCTTCTTCTCCTTTTTTTTCTTCATCGTCGTTGTCATCATCGTCAGCGTCAGCGTCATCGGCATCATCAGCATCGTCGTCACCTTCACCGTGACCATCTACAGGTTTGGCGGAGGGCGAGGTATGACTTTGTTGGCCATGGGAACAGCAAGAACCTGGCGGCCCAGCATGTTTTCCGGTCCCAAAGAGTTCAGAGACACTGCATAGTGTGCCCTTTCCTAGGATACTGCAAGACTGTTGTCCATCTTGGTGCAAATGTGGCGTTGGCTCCACAGCCATTTCATTCTTTTGGTGAATCATGTGTTCCATGTGTTTGATTTGCCTAGCATTTCTCTGCAGGCCCTATGCTTCTGTGGAGCTTCAATACTCTACACCTCTCTGAAGCAAGGGACCCGATGCCAACAATGCATGGCAACAGTTGCGTGCGGTGGATTCGCCGTTCTCCTCTCTCCCATTCGGGTTGGTCACCAGGGCCCCGCTTTTCATTGACTTCAGCTAAGGGGAACCCAGGGGAGCCCCCTGCTCTTTCTTTTCGATCGCGCAATTCTGCGGTATCAGTGTCCGTCCCCAGTGCCTTTGCAGGAATGGGTTTTGATGCTCATTCTCTGGGTTGTTCAGTTATTCTAATATCATGTAGCGAGCAACCGCCAGCTCAGCAACCTCTTGACAGATAGACGGGCAATGCCTTGGTGCTTTATCCTCGCGCAACAACCATACAAGCAGCGACTGGTTTGCTGCAAGATTTTAGGCCGCGTCCCACTCATCTACTCGGATGTGGACACCGGTGGCGGCATCGCACGCAAGACCGTTGCAGAGCAACGCGGCAATGACAGCCAGGGTAGTTTGAGCCTGCACCGGTTGTCCTTGATGGACCACAAGAACAAGAACGTATGTGATTTTCCTACTGTATCCTATAGTTGCCTTCAGGCTCATTGCAGCCAGCTTGCCATTTACCAACGATGAACGCTATTTGTCGAGGTAGGTTTTATTTTAGATTTATATAGTCAAGTCACATGTTGGACGTTTCATCGAGCTGTTATTTTGGCCGCCCATGTGCGGAAGAAAAAAAAGAGAGAAATGCTGTAGAAATGCCTCAACATGACTCAACAGGTTGATTTGAGCAGACGGGGACAGGTTCGGCACACGGCTGAGCATTTCCACTGCTGATGTTGACTTTGCTAGAAAGGAGCCTAGAGAATTCGCAAAAGCTTTGGCAGCGACCATTTTGTGTGGCCTTTTCAGAGTAGCCACATGTTACCACGTTAGTCATAGCATATAGGCTCTTGTATTCGTTCGGCCGAGGCGGATTTCATGTCTTCAAGGATCTCCACTAGACTCAACGGTTGGACCAGCGATGAATTTGAGGTTGGAATGGACTGGCTTCACTCATCATTCCTCTCTCCTGCTGCCACCTCTTCCTTGTCTTCAGGAGATGGTAGAGAGAAGCAGGGTGAGGCTTCCTTGTCATTCACTTGCCTTGCCACCCATTCTATACATCTCGCGGCCCATTGACAACTCACTGCTATTCAACCCTCAGGTTAATGTACCTCTCCAGAATCTACATGCTCAACTTTTCAGCTCAGAGACCAGATAGAGACTAGATCGGGAAACCCCGCCAGGTCCTTCGAGCTACCCCCAAATGTCCTTCAGCATTTTTGCCCCAAGCTTGACCTAGTCTCCGAACGCAACAGGAACTTCCCAGAGCCCTCAATGGCCACGCTTTTCCTTTTTGGGCGATCCCAGATGATCCCTGTGTTCCCTTTTCATGGTCCACGTAGGAGCACGTTTGCACCCCCCCCTTCAAGGGTGTCTCATGTCAACTATTGTCAAGAAGCATGCTGTGCCCCACACAGAAGCACGATGGGTACTGCATTCGAAGCTTGCCAGCAAGAGCGCTTTCTTGTGGCATTGTGGCCGTTGTGCGCGCCGAGTTATCTCACCTGCGCCCTGGAGAGTGAAGCGGATGCCGTGGATGCCTATGGCCTGAACGTCTACTCCTGGTGCGATGACCCTCGAAGTGCAGATCATTTGTTTCAAACGGCGACCTCGCGCCCTTAAACGCCCATGACATTGCTTGGGGAACCTTGAAGGTACGGCAGATGAGTCGATGGCGGTCGCCTTGTCGGATTCATTGCACAAACTTGCCAACCTTGCGAACTTGTAACCTCTCATCCAGCTGCACAGGCTTACATGGACATCCAGCCCATGGGCAATACATGAGCCACCAAGACACTTGCTTGTGCACGGTGTATAGGGCGTTGACAAATCACTCAATTACTCTATCAATAGTTGTGAACAGAGATCCATGCGACAGGATTCATTTGTTCGCCACTTGAGCGCCGGGTACATGGATGCTTCGTCAGGGGAACAGCACAGAAAGCTTTGATAGCAAAGAAGTATCAATCAACATCACATTGAGATGATCGGGTCTGCGCTTGGGCCTCAGCTTGCTGAGGAGACTTATCCTGGTGATGGCAAAGATGACAACTTCCAGTACTCTCCGTACAAGGACATCAGGGATGTCCGGATCTCAGCCGAGAGCATGCTGTCAGCTCTGGCGGACAAGGGGCAGTTGATATTGCATGATTCTTTTGAAAGCGAGCTACAGTTGGTGGTGTGTATTTGCTATCAGACCTCTTGAATAGCCCAGCGGGCTCAAGAGGAGCTTTGTTGATCACCCGAAGGTCCAGCCTCGGCCCCCATCCGGCACATGTGTAATCCATTCTCAGCACAATTCGCATGAATTCCCATGCCACGGATGTAAGACCCAAGTCGAGCATTGCCAAGGATTTCAAGGACTTCTCGGTGCCCTTCATCTTCTCCGAGTTCGGGTGCAACCTGGGCGGGATGGCGACCAAGTGCCCCTACCCAGGCCCGACGCGTGGAATGGGTCCCCGGCCATACTTTACGGGGACAAACAGATCAACTGGGGGGAACTTGTTGCTATGGAGCAGGCCAGATTTGATCGGAGCTTGGTTGGGGTGCTGATGTGTACAATTCGGCGGGACAGGTGCGATAACTTCTCAGACCAGTGAGTATTGTACGGCGTGCCAATGCTGTTTGGGGAGTTGAAGCATGTGAGTGTCAGCCAGTGTCAGCGAGTGTCAGCCAGTGTCAGCCAGTGGATTGGTCACTCCATGCCCGCATTTGCTCTAATGATCCCGAAGTGCAGAGGACTGAGCGCTCACAGAAGGGTTGAGTCGAAGACTGCAGTTGGAGGGGCGGCACCTTCCAATCGCAGCTTGTTGCCAGTACCAAGCTTGGTCGATATCGCCCCCTAATCGATGAACCTTTGGCAGATGAATCATTGTGCTTTGTCTGTTGAAGCGCAAGTGTGGAAAAGACAAACCCATGGTTGCCTCAATCTGCCCAGCGCTTGCGCTAGCCAGATGGCCGCACTTGGCCTGATGTGAAGCACTTCCTTGGTGAGGAGGGGGCAGTTGAGAGGTGCGTTGGATTTGGCAGGGACATGCTGAACCACTCAAGTTCCATCGTCCATTGGCAGCGCATTGTGCTCACGGCTCAAATGCGTAGGACGAATGAGTTCTATGTTGTTTGCGCTTATGCTAGTTGCAGCAGCCGTGGCCACCCATGTTTTTTTTTTATTCCAGGGAAAGCCATGTCTCACTCAGTGCGCATGAGCCAAGGCATTTCATGCTTACCGCACAGAAAATGGATTGAGCACCAAAAGCATGGTAAGAGCAGCCATCTATGACCGACTCCACAGTTGGTTGCAATCATGCAACATATTATAAAACACAAGCCTGTTGCCAAGGGGCCTTGTATTCAATTTTACTTCTGTCAGTTGGTCGCTTGAGGGTATTTCCAACTTGGCTGCCCGGATTTCAGCTTAGTAAACTGTTGTCATTGTGCTTTGTTGAGCCTTGATGGCTTAAATTGAGGCGGCTTGGGGGACGGTGGTGCTAGGTCAACCCAGCCAGGTGGGATACATACACCCATGGCGAGGTTGTGAGGCAGTTGCAGCGCTTTGCCTATAATTGTCGCTTTCAATCCGTCCAAACCGGGCCCACCCGACTCGAGCTACCCTTTTGCCCAAGCCGTTTTTGCCACATGGACCTCCCGGATAGGACATGGGGGAGTTCATGAGCGGCGCGGTGGCCTTCCAGTGGTCAATGGCCGCACGTCATATGTTCGGGGCGGGGGAGCCGGAGTGGTCACAGTCAGCCCGGGGTGGAGGGTGAGTGGAGTGGTTGGATTCGTAAGGTGGGATCCATTGGTTCTTCCCGCTGCCCGCGCTGCTGCTCTTGCTTCTTGTTCTGGCTGCTTGCTGCTTGCTTTCCAGACCTTTTTTATGTCTTCTTTGTCTTTCTCTCTCTCTCTCTCTCTCTGTCTCTCTGGTTGCTCTCAAGCAAATGCGTCCCGTTTGCCCAAGCGGCCGAAAAGGAGGCGTCCCGGCGGCCCGGTGGTCCAAGTTTCTGAGGATAAGGAGGAGTATGGCCTCACCCTTTCGCCCGGCTTCCTCAAGGGTCAGGACGCCGGACAGCATTGGGGGGGTTGTCCTTTTGTCGGGGTACCCTTTTTGGGTTGGTGAGACAAACCCATTGCGCAATTGACACATTGATAATTCAAAATAGATTGGTCTCCTCATGGTGCTATTTGGGAATGCCTCCTTGATCCTTTGAAAAGCAAGCTGACATGAAGCCATTTAGAGGGGTTTGTAATTTTACAGAAAGGTTTCAGCGGGTTTTTCCCAAACAGTGTTTCGACCGGTGACAACCTCGCAATGGGTCCGGCCCGACCCAGTCTCACCCTCAGAAAGCGGAGACCCATGGGTCGGCCAAGTGCCCAAGGTAAAACCGCTGTACCGGTTTTGCACATCGCGTGCAATTGGCTCGACTCAGTCTGATGTCTCATGGCTTCTATAGATTCGCAAGCTTGAGCTTGTTCTTGTAGCAGTGTTTTACAATGGTGCCCAGCGACTGTGGCAGGTTGCAGTCTCAGTCGCAGGCTGATATTTCCAGGGAGTGAATAAATGGTTTTGCCCTGAATGTTTGCCAAAATGCCAAGCTGCCAAAAACTGGATCTCCTTGGAACCCATGGCCCGCAATGCGGCAATAGTGTGACAAGTGTCCTGAAGACTTAGACAGCCGCCATGGGCAGGATGAACTCTACCTGCTTGACAATTACTTCAACCTGCAGCCTGGCAAGCGGCAGGTTTGTGGGACACAGGTTTTACTATGTTCCCCTTGGCCGAAGCCAACTTGCTGACTTGCAGTCCAAAGCCCATCTTTGTGCATCTGTCAGTTTTCCGCCCTCCGCACAACTGGAATGTTCCCAAAGAATGCAATGCTCATTTTAGGCTGCGTCTCAAAACGTCGGATCACTTTTAGCGTTTGAATGGGAACGAACATTGCCAGCCTTCGGGCACAGGTGGCGAGTTTTCAGGCAGGCTTGGGCATCGGAGTAGCCTTTGAGCCTCATTGGTGGCAGTTCCAACTCTCTCCTTTGGTGTTGTTTGGCAAAACAAGTTGCCCCCGAAGTCTCTTGGCTTCTGCTGTCCTTATCTTTGTCAAAGTGAAATGGGACTGTTTCCCTTCAAACCAACCACATAGGGGGTGACTTTGCTAAAATCATGGGGCCGGTTTTGGATGTTGAGGCAGAAGGTCTACAACAAGTACCAGGTGAACGGGACCTGGGACGCAGCTGCGTCCAAGGTGCGGCCACGAAAGATCCACGAGACCAGACTCACTAAGTGGGTTTACTTACTTCCTGAGTTCCTGGACTTAAAGAAAATGTTAGGGAAGGCCATTTGAGAGGCAGATGATTAAAAAGTTCGGACATCTTTTGGCCATTCCACTCAGGATATGGGCTTATGTGGAGCCCTTTGCTTGATGAAAAAAGACAAATCAATATGGTTGCTTGCGCTAGGGCAAACTGGAGTATATCAGACATGCAGCGTTGCGTGCTTGTGACGCTGCAGCGACATATTAGAGAGACCACTTTCTTTGCGCCTGGATTTTTACAGACCAGCCGCTCTTTGTTTGGCAGATTCCAGCTGCATGTTGCTGTTGGCTGGCTCGAGCTGCAGCCACTAGGGCTGCCAAGTGCAAATGGCCTATGGAGCCCACTGAGTTGCATGCGACAAGGTGAGAGCTGTTCCAGCTAGTTTCTCCCAGGTGGACCAGTGCGGCTTTAAACCGGAGGACGTCGCGCCGATGGCCCAGCCGTCACTTCGGCGGCATTGTTGCGCGCGGGCAGGTGCGTATCTGACACCCATCTGGCTTGGGGCGGGTGTGCCTCAAGGCATGTACACATGTTTCCTGGCAGAGGGTATGAACCTGTGTGCAGTGCAGGGTTTAGTAGGATGAAATGATCACTATATGATTATGCCTCAAGATGATTCTGGTTGACAAGAACGAGCATATTGTACATTTCCTTAGGCAGAATTGCAGTCACTGCATCAACCCGATAAACGCTTGGCGTTTTGCTTTGCACGGGAAAACCGACTACCTGGGCCTCAGGAGCTGACCCTGTTGTGTTTGCCCCAGGGAGCACACCACTCAGCAATCACTCAACAAAATACTTCTCCGTGATGCATCGGGGGAGAAGTGCTCTTGTTGAAGCGAGGGTCCAATGCGTTGTCAGGAAGCAGTTTGGCAGTAGCTCAATGTGTTCGTCACTCAGTGAAGGTAGAATCTGCGGTGCATCCAAACTTCCATGCTTGGAAGCTTCCAAAGCTTGTCTCAATTGAATGATGCCGGGACCGGAAGCAAGCATCCCAACTTTGACGAGCGTTCAACAACACACCCCGACCTGTGCCAACCCCGAGCAATGTACACACATGTACACAAGCATACAAAGAGACAACATATTGTGTTCAATATTGTGTTCAGCATGCACATCGACATTGTCGGATCGACATGCACTTGAGAGCTCGCGACTTGAGCTGTAGGCACAAGAGGCCTGCCTGCCCCGGCAAGGATGTTTGGTGCCTTGGCTCGGTTCATACGGGCTGCACGGTGAGGGTCCCCCCTCATTCATCGGCGTTTGTCGAGGCAGCTGGCGATTTGGAGGCAGGCCTAATGGACTAATCTCAAGGCACAGCCGGACGGGTTGATTCAAGGAAAAGTGTCATTGCAAGGGTTCGCGGCGTGCCAAGACCATGCAGTGGCCCACCTGCCAGCTGCTGCCAACTTGCATATATTGATATTATCCACACCCACATTTATGAAGGTGGAGCTGTGCTATTTGCAGGTTCTGTCTGTCAGGTAGAAGTGGCCAGTTGCCACACGATCCGATCGTCATGTCGAAGTGTTTTCCTCGGCATAAGGATGAAGGTTCAGAAGCAACGGGGCGTGGACAAGGTTGCGGATTGGGCAGCCCCTTGGCAAACATCAAGCATGTCATGCATGTTGTGGGGCTTTGGGGGGCGGGGGTGCAGGGAGGGATATGCGGCGAAAGTTGGGGGGGAGGGCAACAAGCAGAACGCTTTGGCTGTGTTGCAGAGTATTGAAAGTCGTTAGGCGAAACTTGGTTTCACAGCTACCTGCTACTCGTGTTCTTCCAGTAAGATTCCCTTCATATTCTGTGAAGGTAGATGGTATGCTGTCGCAATTGCAAATTTTGACTTCCAAGGCCATTGGTGGTGACGAATCCAAGGTAGCATGGCACCCAATTTGCCGGTCCCAACTCGTGTCTGGAGCTTTACGCAATTGTAGAGAGCTTTGCAACTGGGCAACGACCTTCCCCATAGCGAGGGTGCGTTTCCCACGAAGCCCTTGGCTGTGAACCAATGACCATGCGCTCCCGGCAAAGATAACAGTCTTCGGGCCGCACAGAGATTCCCTCGAGGCTTGGGCTTGAGCAAGATTCCTTTTGGGTTGCCAGAAGCCGAAGACCGTTCCCATTTAGCCCGGCGCTCACGCGCGCAGACGCGCGATGTCTTTTTCCTTCGGGCAGGTTCTGCCTCCGCCCGCCACGGCGATCCTTGGCAACGAGACCTTGAACATTTCCAACTGCTCCGCGGATCCAGGGCCACCCTGGCAAGAAAACCGAAGAAAAAGTGGGAGGTGGGGGAGATTGGTTTCGAAAGTAATCACTACTGTACTTGGGTGTTCGGCCAAATTAGTGAGTTCTGAGTAACCTAAGTTATAACCCGCCTAGAAGCCGAACGAAGTGGAGCTGAACTTGTTCTTACCACTTACTTGGCCGAACACCCAAGTAGGTATTCCTTTGGTAGGGCTACAAACAAACAGAAAGGACATCGAGGTTCCACCGTTTTTGTTTGCTCATGTTCAGGTCGAGTTGGTCTTCGTAGGCTTATCCAACCTCTGCAATCCCTTCCAGAACTTAAGCGGGCGCTCCGAACCACTCTGGACCGAAAGAGTGGAACCCGCGGAACGGAACATGGCACCTCCGAACTCCGGAGCTCCGCGCAGACACCCCGTAGCTTTCAGCGAAGGTGTGACTGAATCAGCGTAAAGTCATAATTTCCTTGGTTCTTATTTGAGGTCCATCGAAATCCTTCGCCTTAGCCACTTGATACGATTTGCAATGGCAAGATTTTGGTTTATGCCCGTGTCATTGCTTAGCGCTGAAGCTTGAACAGCTTGTCTTGCTCTGAAGGCTCAATGAAATGAGTGTGTGACGTGAAGAACTAGTCAGTGGAGCTGTACGACATACAAACAGATCACCACGCCTGGGTGCTTTATGGCTACTTTAGAGCCTCCGGCTCAGTCCGCCGACATTGTCCTCTCCCGTTTCTCCTTCTGCCTCTCTCCCTTGTCTCCCTTGTGTGTTCTGTCGTCCTCTCTCCCTCCCTCTGCTCCCCATCCTCCCCATCCCCCCAAGCCTCTCCATGCCCAGTCTCCCTCTCTGGTATGTATGTATGCATGTATATATATATATATATGTGTATGTCTGTCTGTCTGTCTGTCTGTCTGTCTGTCTGTCTGTCTGTCTGTCTGTCTGTCTGTCTGTCTGTCTGTCTGTCTGTATGTATGTATGTATGTATGTATGTATGTATGTATGTATGTATGTATGTATGTATGTAATGCATGTAATGTAATGTAATGTAATGTAATGTAACGTAACGTAACGTAACGTAATGTAATGCATGCATGCATGCATGCATGTATGTATGTATGTATGTATGTATGTATGTATGTATGTATGTATGTATGTATGTATGTATGTATGTATGTATGTATGTAATGTAATGTAATGTAATGTAATGTAATGTAATGTAATGTAATGTAATGTAATGTAATGTAATGTAATGTAATGTAATGTAATGTAATGTAATGTAATGTAATGTAATGTAATGTAATGTAATGTAATGTAATGTAATGTATGTAATGTAATGTAATGTAATGTAATGTAATGTAATGTAATGTAATGTAATGTAATGTAATGTAATGTAATGTAATGTAATGTAATGTAATGTAATGTAATGTAATGTAATGTAATGTAATGTAATGTAATGTAATGTAATGTAATGTAATGTAATGTAATGTAATGTAATGTAATGTAATGTAATGTAATGTAATGTAATGTATGTAATGTAATGTAATGTAATGTAATGTAATGTAATGTAATGTATGTATGTATGTATGTATGTATGTATGTATGTAATGTATGTATGTATGTAATGTAATGTAATGTAATGTAATGTAATGTAATGTAATGTATGTAATGTAATGTAATGTAATGTAATGTATGTATGTAATGTAATGTAATGTATGTATGTATGTATGTATGTATGTATGTATGTATGTAATGTATGTATGTATGTATGTATGTATGTATGTATGTATGTATGTATGTATGTATGTATGTATGTATGTATGTATGTATGTATGTATGTATGTATGTATGTATGTATGTATGTAATGTATGTATGTAATGTATGTATGTATGTAATGTAATGTAATGTAATGTAATGTAATGTAATGTAATGTAATGTAATGTAATGTAATGTATGTATGTAATGTATGTATGTATGTATGTATGTATGTATGTATGTATGTATGTATGTATGTATGTATGTATGTATGTAATGTAATGTATGTATGTATGTATGTATGTATGTATGTATGTATGTATGTAATGTAATGTAATGTAATGTAATGTAATGTAATGTAATGTAATGTAATGTAATGTAATGTAATGTAATGTAATGTAATGTAATGTAATGTAATGTAATGTAATGTATGTATGTATGTAATGTAGGTAAGGAATGTAATGAATGTAATGAATGAAATGGATGCAATGGATGAATGTATGAAAGACGTCCAAAAACATGGAGTTTTCCAGATTTTCGGCAAAAGGATGTAGGAAGCCCAAGCCAGCAAAAAAGCCGGCAGGGGGAATCGAGCCTGGGACCCCTGTTTTGCGACACCGGCTCCCCGAAGACTACGTTTAGTGGAACGTCATCAAATTGCCGCGCGGTAGGAGGGGGGGGGGGGGGCGACCGAAAAACCATGCGTATCTGACGTGTCCCGGGGGGACTAAGGGGGGTTATCCTCTATCCTCTCTTAGGTATCCAATAGTCCTCTCTTTGGTATCCGACACGCCGAGCAATGTCGGCGGATTTGGTTGGATCTTTGGACTTTCAATGTCTGGGAAACGGTGGATTTTCCATTAGACCCCCTCAAAGTGAAACTTTTTGCAGAGGCGTTTACAGCAACCAAGTGTGTGTGTGTGTGTGCCTTCTGAAAGCAAACCTGTCTACCAGTTTTAGGCCGCTAGCATCCTTTTTGTGCGGTTGCTAGCCAGCAACCGCGGGCATGTGACTTCCCGCAATACTGTAAATTTGGGGAAGCGGCATGTCGAACTGTCCGCATTTGTTCATCCGAGGTTCCAACCTTCTTGCATTTGCCTTCACGGATTTCTTCAATGGACAGTTTTGTAGCGCCAGTGGAATGCGGTGGTTTCTTGCTTTGGCCGCTAGCTGTACACGGGCGCATGCTAAGAGTAAAGTCCAGCCTGAGCGACCCAACATTGGCGCCGAATTTGCCATAATAATTCTGGCTTTGGATCATTGTGGAATGCTTATCAAGTATGTTCCATTCCTTGGCCCGTGTTGCAACGCGTCAATGGGGGGTTGCAAAAAGCAGTCCCCTGAGTAGCCCCAGGCGCCCCAACAAGCGAAAGGGAAGAGGGTATATTTTTTATTTTTCGATTATGAAGGTTGCCTTGCGTTCCCCGTGTTGCGCGGGCCGCGTCAGCCCACTAATTATGCCTCATCAGCCGCTCTCCCTAAGAATAAAATGGATCCCCACCCCGCCCCCGCGTGGGGAAACACACGTCTGTTATTCGGGGCCGGTTCCAGGATTGGGATGTCCAGTCTTGTGTTTTTTGTTTTTGTGGGGAAGTCACGAGCAGCCAGAACATGTTGATTATATGTGTTGGTTTTAAGCAAAGGTTTCAAAAAGGGAACCGCACCCCGTTCTTCCTGTCCAAAGAGTAGTGCTTCCTGAGAGCAGGCAGGGGGGTTCCCTAATAAGACTGGAAAAGAGATCGGTGGCAGAAGTTACGTGTTGATTTCAACTTGGGCGATTCTAATTTAGGATTCACCCCCCCCAGGTTTGGGAAAGCTTTTTTATTGTTGGGGGGGCATTGATTATTAAGGAGAACGGATTCGTCGGAAGTCAATGCCCTTTGTGGGCCTTTCAGTCATGCGCGAGCTTGAATGTTCCAGTTGAGTTGCCAACCTTTGAATCTGTTGTGCCATGGGCCAAAACGGATTGGTGCTTGGGCAGCGATAAATCACATCCCGAAAGTTGATTCCATGTTCCCGGGCGCCTGAGGTTTGTGCTCAGCGTCGAATTGACCTGCTCTGGGCATTCCAACACCACCGGCGCATGAGGCACCTCTCTGAGCCTTGCAGGGTCACGAGTTCAGATTGCATCTCAATTTATGTTGGAGCTGGCGTCTTTCCGTTTGGAAGTGGTTTGGCCATTGCAAGGTGCTTAGCTTTGTTTCTTGATGCGTGGCTCCCAAGCAAGCTCGATCAAAGCCAGTCCAGAGTCCGAAGGGCTTGTTCGGAGTAGCTAGAGTTTGTGAATCTTCAACTGCCAGAAATTGGCACATTCGAACAATGATAGTCAATGATAGTGGCATTTGATGGCCAGTGACTCATGCTTCACCTAGATCTCCCCGGCACCTTGACACTTCTTCTATTCTTCTTGGATCGTGAAGGCAGTTGATGAGCGCTTTTTTATTAAAAGAATATGCATGATGTACTCTCTTTCATTCAACCCGTATTCTCAACTGTTGTGGGACACCGCGGGAGCGACGTCCCTCACCTTTACCCTGCTAGGCTTTGGATTGAATTCAGTCAGTGCACTATGCAGAAAGGCGTGCATGCACTGACCCTAGCACTGAATATAGAAATTATATTCCTTGGTAGCTTGGCGCACCAGCGCGTCAGCACGTGAGCTTGAGCTACTGAACTTTTAAACAACAACTTGAAAAAGAAGGATTGCCGAGCTGGTCTGCATGAACTTAGATACGTTTGTATACGACTACATGGCTGGTTGCTGCCCCTTGCCCCTTCCTTCTGTGGGGTGGTTTGAATAACTTATAGTTGGTTTTGCGATTGGCTGACGTTGGTTGGCTTTTCAGCTGGGCTGAATGTCTTAGCATTCTGAACCGTGTCTTGATCCAAGTCATTATCTTGCATTGCTTCTTTATGCTTGTATTTCTTGTTGGTCGAACATATTTGTTGGATGTAGCAGCCTTCCTCGTAAAGAAGGCTCGATATTTAGGTACCTTTGCAACCTAGAGGGCGATTTTCGCGAGGATTGGCGAAGGAATTTGCCCATGGTGGTGTTAATCGGAAAATTGTCTTAACGAAATTTAAAATTATTATTAAAAAAAAAAAAGGAATTATGTGTTTTTATTTTTTTAATATTATTATAATGTATAAATATTACGAAAAATAATAAGGCTAAATTGAAGGGCTTAATTGTTAGATGGAATAATAATAATGATAGATATTACGGAATAATAATTAAATATTAAATATATATTGATGATTTTTAATTTATTTACATTGATAATATATTTATTTAGATTTATTTTTATAGAATTATATTTTATTTTTTAGATTTAATAATTGAGGTATGTTATTTTATTTATATGATTATATGATTTAGCATTAAAGGTTTTTATAACCAAATTATTAGTTAATTAATAATTTGATTTTAAATTTATAGATTTTATTTTTTTAATTAGATAATTATTGAATTTAAAATATATATATAGATTTAGTGGTGGTTAAATAATTGCTTGATTGAAGATTTAATAGTTAAATTGTAATTTTTTAATTAAATGATTTTTTGATTTAAAATTAATTGATTTTATAGCCAAATTGCCGTTTGATTTAATTTAGAGATTTAGAATTTGAATTATATTATCTTAATTTTAGATACTTATTTAATTTAAATTATGATTTAAAAGTCTATAGGTTAGTTAAATGGCAAATTAATTGGCTATTTGATTTAAAATCCTTATATATAGTGCCCTATTTAAATGGCCGTTTTGAAATCCATAGATTTAGTGCCCAAATCACATTTTCCTAATCAAATAGCCATTTGACTAGATAAATCGTTGAGTAGTATCGAGATCGTTGTTTTTTTGAGAAAAAAATTTATCTAATTCAAAATGTATAGATCCAATACGATTGTGTAAAAAATGTATGTTGTCGAGTTTGTTTTTTTTTGGTCGGGGTTGTGTTAAAGGTTTGGCGCGGTTTTAGATTTTATTATTAGTTATGATTATAGTCCCTCCTCGTTATTCATAAAATTAACAAAATATGAGTTTGGTGTTTTCTTGCTTTGTTTGTAATTTATTTTGTGTGTTTTGTTTTATATATCGTTTCGTTTTTTGGTCGGTGTTTTTTAGATTTTAGGATTAGGTGTTTTTTTTTTTTTTGTTTTTTTTTTTTCATAAAATTATAATAAATGTTTATGGGAATTATATTCTTATATAATATTAAGAATATTTTAATTTTATTATATATATTTTTATATATTACTTTTGGAATAATATATTATTTAAGAAATATATTATTTAATATTTTAATACTTTAGTATTTATAATTTATATATAATTTTAATATAAAATTTATAATGCAAAATATTATATAAATATACATTTTTTAGAAATTCAATTAATAAAATAATTAAATTATTATTTAAACCCAATATCAAAATTATATTTACTATATTCATTATAATAATATATTAAATTAAATAAAAAACATTAATTTTAAATAAAATAGAATTAAAAATAAGTTCGGGCGATATCCCGAATATCCCGATCGGGGTGTAATGGCGCAATCTCGGGACCCGTTAGTACAATTGGGGCCCGATCGGGGTCCGACGGTACAATCCGATCGTCCCGTGGTACAACCCCAGCCACCCATATTATAGCTCAACGTCGGTTTTCCTTAACATATGAATTACAACCATATCTATAACAAAACTAAACGACGCCAACTTAGTGTGGAAACCTTCTAACCTAACCTCCCAAAGTCCATCAAGCAGCAATACCAAGCATTTACTCTATTACACCATGAGTTCCGCGGCGACATAATCTAATTTGCCACAAAGCCATTATTTGCCTAAGCAAATAAGCAACACAAAACAATAAAAGTGTGCTTAAAACCATTAATTTCGGTTTTTTTAGTATTCTACCCATAAACAAAACGATATTAACCCGATGGCTTTTCAATCGACAAGCGCACAATTCACCCTTGGTAGAACATTATAGAGCCTTGTAAAACCCATATAAAATCCTTATAAAGCTTTACAAAACCCTATAAAACCTCAAAGCCCACAACCCTCATAACATCTTATAAAACCCTAAAACCCTCATACAACCTTACCTCAAACCACCCCGGACCACCCTACAACCCTCGCAAAACCTCGTAAGACCCTACCTACTAAAACCAGAACCCTCGTGGAACCTTCCCCGAATCACGCCTTAGTAGAACCCCTAATAGAACCCTCGTCCAGAATACGACAGGCTAATAAAATTCTGGTGGAAACCTAATAACATCCTCATAAAACCTTACCTCCCTATAACCCTCACAAAACCTATTCAAACCCTAACAAAATTCTAATGGAAATTTAATAAAACCCTCGTAAAATTTTCCTCAAACCAAACCATCCCAACCCTCGAAAAAATTACTAAAACCTTGGTAAAACCCTTATAATACCTTACCTCAAACCACCCCCGACCACAACCCTAGTAAAACCTTACCTCAAACCACCCAAACCACCCCGCAGCCTAAAATCCTAATAGAATCCCAACAAAACCCTCGTAAAACCTTCCTACAACTCGCAATTCTCGAAGAAATTAACAACACCCCCTAATAAAATCGTCGTAAAACCTTACCTCAAACCAACCCAAACCACCCCGCCCTAACAAAACCTAATAAAACCCTAATAAAACCCCCTAGTGTAACCCTAATAAAACCCCAACAAAACCCCGATAAAACCCTAATTAAACCTCTAATATAACCCCTAATAAAACCTTAACTCAAGGTCGCCCCAAACCACCCCGAAGCCTATCTAAGCTAAGACCCCAAAGCTTTCAACTATTAAAGAATTAAATTTATATTAATTAAATATAAATATTAATTTTATATAAAACTACTTTGTAAATTTTAATATAATATATATTTATTCTTATATATATTTAATAATATTCAAACCCATCCTATCACACATATTTTAAAATATAACCCAAAAATATCAAATTTCCGATATCATTATTAATTGATTAATATCATAATATATCTTTGGATATATATATGTTTCAATTATATCAAGATATATCAAGAATTCCATAGTCTTTTTTTCCCCTCCTTCCTTTTTTCTTTTCGATCTCTTTTTATTCCTTCTCTATTTGTTCCCTCTCTTTCTCTCCCTTTCCCTCACCCGCTCCTCGTGTTCAGTATAGCCGATGGAACATATCTTTTCGTTCAACCAGGTCAATCAAGCCATGGTTGCAGATTGGACAGCCCTGTCCCCGCAGAAAGGCCTGCAGGATCTTGCAAAGCTAGCATGCCCAAACCGGCTGTGGGGAGCAAACGCCATGCATAAAGCGGTCTTTAATGATAACTTTTTGCGGCAACTTCTTCGTCTTCGGCCATCTGCCAATCCAGTGTGCCGGGAATAGGAATTTGACATTCCTGGCAGGGGTCACAGCACTGACTGGACCACAGGCATGCAAATGCCTATCGCAAGCAAGCCCAAACATTGAAGAGCAAGGAACGCCAGCCTGGCCAAGTGCAACATGAACAGGCAAGCACACGTATCTATACATATACACATATCGATAAGTGGCCAAATCTTTCTCGTTGATGAAGCCGCTGCTTGTGATGAACCAACAATACGATTTGTTTCGGCGAACAGCTGTCCTTCTTGACATCCTCGGCTTCGCTGTCTTTGGAGCTTTTCCTGGTGGTAGCTGCCGACTGCGGGGCAGAACCCGTGGAAGGCGCGGGATCAGTTTCGCCTGAGCTTCAATGCTGGACGGCACGCAAGCGAAATGATCCGAGCGATGTAGAATTTGACAGTGGCAAGGCGCACTGACAAAAAGATGTGTGCCATTGCGTTGGCGTGCCAGCAAGTGCAGCCTGTAAGGCGCACGACGCACATCTGGCGACAGGCGCAGGGAAGGAGCATGACACCAGCTCAAATCCAGCCAATGTGCCCTCGAATCCATCCCACAGAAACACGTCGACAAGGCAACGTCTCTGGTCGACCCCGCAAAAGATATTGGCTCGATCACAGCCTATGGGGCCGGGAAGTATTTGTCTGGGAAAGAATTTGCCCTGCCGGAGAGATTGTCCGGAACACGCAGGACACGCACGTGTAGCCCTATCTCTTTCACAAGCATCATGGTCTTTGTCAAGAAATAGTTGTTTGGTTGACTCAACGTAGGTGCTGTGCTGCTCTGTAGCCTAATCTCGTCGACACCTGCCGCCAAAACGGCCCTCCATACCACTGTTCAATTCCACTGTGAAAGGTTAGCTAAGGAGGCTGATGTTGGGCTAGAATGTTGGCTTGTTGTCTCCATTTAGTAAGCAAATCACCAGGGGTATCGAGACAGGCTTGAGAACATTGAGAGATTGTTGGAACTAAGGGGGGAGGCAGCACTGGACGGCAGCCCATAGGCCAAGAGATTCGAAATGCCACAAGTGGTCGAAGAAGTTGGGCGTGCAAAAAGCCGGCCCTTGCCCCCAGCGTGTATATTCATCACGGGACGGGGGTGATCAAAGGTTGCAGAGCAACTAATCGGATGCCAAGTAGCCGGTAACCGGCGACCGCTCCGCATCCTCCGCGTGCGTTATCTCCTCCCAAGAGCCAGCATGCACATGCGTTTGGTACTTGAAAAAAAAACGTGCGTCACCCACAAGACGTTTAATTAAATTTATAGGTATATAAATATAGCCAGACTTGTTGTGGTCTCCACGGGACGTCGGTGGTACCCGAAAACATTTGACGTGCCCCAAGCTTGATGGCCCGGCCAGGTCTTATCCTCTCCAACTAACATTCCGTTACTCCATACCATCGCCTTGAAGCTATATATATATATGTGTGGTGTGTGTGCGTGTATGTGACACATCTATACATACATACATACATACATACATTACATTACATTACATTACATTACATTACAGTACAGTACACTACATTACAATACACACACATACATACATACATACATTACATTACATTACATTAGATTACATTACATTACATTACTTTACATACATACATTATACACATACATACATACATACATACATACATACATACATACATACATACATACATACATACATACATTACATTACATTACATTACATTACATTACATTACATTACATTACATTACATTACATACACATTACATTACATACATACATACATACATACATTACATTACATACATACATACATACATACATACATACATACATACATACATACATACATACATACATACATACATACATACATACATACATACATACATACATACATACATACATACATACATACATACATACATACATACATACATACATACATACATACATACATACATACATACATACATACATACATACATTACATACATTACATACATACATACATTACATACATTACATTACATTACATTACATACATACATACATACATACATACATACATACATACATACATACATACATACATACATACATACATACATTACATTACATACATACATACATACATACATACATACATACATACATACATACATACATACATACATACATACATACATACATACATACATACATACATACATACATACATACATACATACATTACATACATACATTACATTACATTACATTACATTACATTACATTACATTACATTACATTACATTACATTACATTACATTACATTACATTACATTACATTACATTACATTACATACATACATTACATTACATTACATTACATTACATTACATACATTACATACACACATACATACATACATACATACATACATACATACATACATACATACATACATACATACATACATACATACATACATACATACATACATACATACATACATACATACATACATACATACATACATACATACATACATACATACATACATACATACATACATACATACATACATACATTACATACATACATACATACATACATACATACATACATACATACATACATACATACATACATACATACATACATACATACATACATACATACATACATACATACATACATACATACATACATTACCATACCATACATACATACATACATACATACATACATACATACATACATACATACATACATACATACATACATACATACACATTACATACATACATACATACATACATACATACATACATACATACATACATACATACATACATACATACATACATACATACATACATACATACATACATACATACATACATACATACATACATACATACATACATACATACATACATACATACATACATACATACATACATACATACATTACATACATACATACATACATACATACATACATACATACATACATACATACATACATACATACATACATACATACATACATACATACATACATACATACATACATACATACATACATACATACATACATACATACATACATACATACATACATACATACATACATACATACATACATACATACATACATTACATACATACATACATACATACATACATACATACATACATACATACATACATACATACATACATACATACATACATACATACATACATACATACATACATACATACATACATACATACATACATACATACATACATACATACATACATACATACATACATACATTACATACATACATACATTACATACATACATACATACATACATACATACATACATACATACATACATACATACATACATACATACATACATACATACATACATACATACATACATACATACATACATACATTACATTACATTACATTACATTACATTACATTACATTACATTACATTACATTACATTACATTACATACACATACATACATACATACATACATACATACATACATACATACATACATACATACATACATACATACATACATACATACATACATACATACATACATACATACATACACATACATACATACATACATACATACATACATACATACATACATACATACATACATACATACATACATACATACATACATACATACATACATTACACATACATACATACATTACATACATACATACATACATACATACATACATACATACATACATACATACATACATACATACATACATACATACATACATACATACATACATACATACATACATACATACATACATACATACATACATACATACATACATACATACATACATACATACATACATACATACATACATACATACATACATACATACATACATACATACATACATACATACATACATACATACATACATACATACATACATACATACATACATACATACATACATACATACATACATACATACATACATACATACATACATACATACATACATACATACATACATACATACATACATACATACATACATACATACATACATACATACATACATACATACATACATACATACATACATACATACATACATACATACATACATACATACATACATACATACATACATACATACATACATACATACATACATACATACATACATACATACATACATACATACATACATACATACATACATACATACATACATACATACATACATACATACATACATACATACATACATACATACATACATACATACATACATACATACATACATACATACATTACATACATACATACATACATACATACATACATACATACATTACACATTACATTGCATTGCATTGCATTACATTACATTACATTACATTACATTACATACATACATACATTGCATACATATGTATATATATATATATATATATATAATGGCGCCCCACCCTTGGACCCTTCCCCACCCACTCGCAGTGAATGCTGGCCATTTAAACCCTTGATCAGTTTTTTCTGCCGGGGAGAACGGCTGAAACACAGCTTTCAGAAAAGCAGGCAGCCGGCGTCCTTGGGCGGCTCTTCCGCCGCTTCAAACTCCACACGGCCCTGGCGCAAAGTGCGCATGAAAGATAAGCCCTCAAGGCCGTCATAGGGGCTGGTTTGTACAACCAACTGTGAGCTGCTGGTTGGAACTGTTGGAACCAGGGATAGAAATTGCCGCAAGGACCTTCATTCATTGCCGCGTTGCTCTTGTTTGAGCGTTCCCAAAAGTGTCCAAAGTGCTTCCACTATACTTGGCATGACTCCCCTAGTGGACAAAGCTCGCGTCCTGCTGAATGGCCGGAAGGAGGATGATCAGCTCATCAGTGCCATGGCTTTGCCATTCCACGAGCTCGTCCTCGCAGTGATGCATTGACAAACTTCAAAGCCCGCGTTCCCATCTCCAATGCACATATGTGAGTTTCCGGCACGGCAAACAGTTGCACGCCGCTGCTGAAGGAAGCTATCCACTGGCCAAAAGCAGCCCTCTTGAGTAAATCATTGCTCTGGATCTCCCCTATTCAAAGTCAGACATGCACTCCAGTTTCAAGTCCTTGTTCTCTGGATTCAGCACTGGGTGCCTCTCATGGCTGCGCCGCCACCTAAAACCGCGGCTGCAAATCACCCCGTGCTAGGTCCAAGTGATCAAGTGATCAAAGACTGGCGGTGTGGGTCTCAAAGAGGGGGACAAAGTGAGGTTCCCCGAGTTCAGTCCCAAGTGGCCCGGCTGCAGGTCATGAGTCAAACGTGGGGCCAACACCTCCAGCCAAAGCTGGCACACCTGAAGCTCACCATCGGCCTTCTCTGTGACGGGAGCATCTGGATCAATTGGAGCGTGTTTTTGGGAAGCCGAAAGGAAACAACCCTGCTCACAGGTTCCATTCATCCATGTGGGTATGGATCACAACCAGAGACCTTGCGGTACGTTTGCAAAAGGATGCGGGCATGTGAAATTCGGTTGGAGCCACAGCATATGCAGTATAAAGTATAGGGCCTTATCCCGGAGGCGGCTCAATGGAAACGCCCATGTGTCCATGATGCCCATCATGCTCCCTATGATGGCACAATTAGTTCTTACCAACGTGAAGATTTTGGGGCGTTGCCGGCCAAACAAAATCCCAATCCCAATGACATGCAACCAATTCCAGCATGCGATGTACGCCACGCAAAAGCACAGCTGCCGCCCAAGTTGAAACAGTCCAAGAGCTACAAGTAGTCTTTGGCTTAGGGCAATTGATGTATTCCCCAGGTTGGCCCCCAATTTGGCGGGCGTCCCCAGCAGCGTGCCGCTGCACTGGCTGAAGACACGACGGTACAGGTCCTGGGCACGTGAGAAAAGCACCATGGTGGCAAAGGAAGCCACCGTGCTTTCAGGTGCATGTATTATCCTCCAGCCTGCTGCCTTTTGAAGAAAAAATATCCGAATTCAGACTGTGGACTTGAAAAGAAGCCAGCAACTTTCACCTGCAAACATGCAAGGTGTGAACGCTTGCTGGCCAGCGTCCAGAAAAGATAATGACTCTTCTTCTCCTTGGCTCAAGCTTGAAAGCTCGTAAAGCTCTCTCTCTCTCTCTCGTTCTTTTCCGTCCCTCTCTTTCTGCTGCCCTCCTGCCCTCCTGCACTCCCTCACGTGAGGACAACATGAGACAACTTCATGGTAACCTCAGATCGAGCATCTGATCAGGTATCGTGATAGCGACTCAGCAATAATATAGGCAGTATTGCTGCGCGGGTCAATCAGCTTGGTATAGAGGTCGTAGAGCGCTTTATTGGAGACAGCCTGGCATTTGCATGCTGCGCAGTTCAGCGAGAACATTGTCGGTCTCCTTCTTGTTGATCGCAACTCAAAGCTTGTGAAAGGTGATCTGGTCTCATAAACAAGCGCCAAGCCAACTGGCTGGAGACTGTGAGCTACAAGAGACATTTTTATCCTCCCGCTGCATGCGGGCATTGCTTTGGCCAATCCCCCGAAACCTGATGATGGCCACCAAATGGTTTACAACCACGGCACCCAAGCAATCCCACCTTGAGCAAACCCGTGTGCATGACAAGGCACAATGGCAAAGACACCAGTCTCTGTTGCTGAGGAGAACAAAAAGGATCCAACTTGCCTCAGCTGGCCCGAACAACCGCCATATGGGAGTCACGCATCGACACTGCAGATAAGAGTCCGAACGCTGCTGTTTCCAGCCAGCATCGTTTCTGTCTTGGAATCCTGAATCTCCTTGGCAACAGGAGCTTGCGCTTAGCTAAAGTTCAGGTGAAGAACAAGGCCCTTGCTTTGGATGATGGTATCTCCAGCTCGCTGCATCAAGGCAACACAACATATATCCTTCATCCTTGCACCTTCAAGCCGGGCCGGAACAAGGTCACACGCCGAGTGTCCGTGACTATCTTGCACTTCTTGCGGTAGCTGTTGCGGCGCTTGCTGCCGATCACATCGGCTTTGGTATCCAAGACCTCGATCCGCTTTCTGCAGGTGACAAAAAACACGCCAGCAGATCAAAGGTGAGGAACTAGCATACAGCTACGAACGCAGCTAAAGCATCAAATGTTAGTTCGAGCACCGCAAGTGGAGAACGGGAGCCTCTGCCCAAAACAACGGCCCCTTGCACACGCGGGATGCTGGCTGACACTTGCTCGGCAGCCACCACTTGTTGCGTGTATGAGCCCCTCACCTGGCAAATCCCGGCATTCCCCTGGCCAAGTAGCATGCTTGAGGTTGATTGCAATGGTGAGATTCCTGGGACCCATCGCTGTCTCCGCACAGCTTCTGAAAGTGAGATCCAGCACAGCTGCACTAAACCGTCTGATGTGTGTGGAAAAACAGTCTCACTGGCGCAGGCCGGGTCAGGCCTACACTTTGGTGCCATGTGCATGGCGAGGTGTTCAAAGACATTTACTGAGCTACCCATAATCATCCTGCCATCAAGTCTGAGTGCATGTGAGCGCGCACTTATGAATGCTGAAACCTTGAGAATTGGCCAAAACGGCTCAGCCAACGTCAATCCTGGGGGTGTTTTTTTTGGTTTAGTCTTCCGCAAAAACGCAACTTGTCGCTAGTTGATGGGTGAAGCAATCTGTTTTTTCACTGTTAAAAGACAAAGCTGCAAACTAAGACCACTGGCAATGCCATATTGTAAACCCTTATGCGATGGCGGGTTCGGACATCCGTCCTGGAGTCGGAGTCGAGGCCGCTCTCCAAGTCGTCCTCTCGCTCAGAGAGGATCAGGGCACAGTCTGCCTTGGGCTGTCAGATCCGATCGACCTGATCCACCTTTTCATGCCGACCCTAAGCCCGCGCATTGGTCAGCCGCAAAAAGTCAGGGCAAACAGCATCACATGTCGCCCCTATTTGGCACTCAAGGCTCAGCATGAACCTGCACATAGGCAGACTCAGACCCTTCTGCGCAGTGCTGACACCTCACCGAGTTGCAGAGTCCAAAGGCAGGCGGTCCAGACTTGCAGCATTCCGGCGACGGCCAACGTGATGGATGATGCTGATCCTGCGAAATCAGGTCCGAAAGGCCCGAAGAAACCTCCTCTGTCTCCCCCACGCCCTAGAAACTCTAGTGGCTTCCGGCTGCTGACCCGATGGCACGCCTTCACCCACCAGGCAATATCTTGAAGGGAAGCTTGGGAAAGTCAGCTTCCCGATCTGTTGCACCAGGGGGCCTCTGGGGCAGTCACCCATGCGCTCCTGTCGAACTGAAGCTTGCCGGTCCGCGAAAAGTGGAGGTGCAGGCAGGACTGACGCCTCATTCTGCACAGCCCACGAGGGGAATAGCAGAACAAGTACTGACATCACAACGGCGTGGCTCAAGTCACCAAATACTGCAAAGCTTTAGCTGTCCAGTACCCAAGTGAGTCATTGACATCGCGAAGCAAGCGGTCACTTTACAACTTTTGAAGCATGGCGTGCAAAGCAACCATGAACTCTGATGTCCGAACAACTGGGTGGAATAGGGATGAACATGATTAGCATCTTGTTCGAACACTGGAACCTGGTGCAACAACCAGGTAACTGAAACCGTCACTCCAAGGCACAGCGCTTCCAGTCTGGCTAAAGCTGGCTCAAACAGAAGTATAGCAGTGAGCCAAGCTGCCAATGCAGCGGCCGTGTGGAGAGCAAGTGCACTTGGCCTGAGATATGCTTCTTGCTTGCAGCGCCTTCTGAACCCTGAACACCACGCTGAGAATGTTCATGTGGTTCGGATCTTTAAGCCGGGCACCCTGAATTTCTCCGTAAGTGCCGATAGCAACCCAGTAGCCATCGATTACAATTTCCGTATGCAAAATGATGCCAGGCAAGCGGCTACCTGCTGCAACGTAGGAGTCTATGATGTCCAGAATGTCGAAGAAGTCATCCGGACCTGAGGCGCTGCCTGTCACAAAGGGCCTGCAAATTGGGCCCCAGCGTGCCTCACGGGATGGCATGGGTTGAAATAACCGAGAACGAGACCTTTCAAACAGGCATAGTGTGCGTCCTTCAAGGAAGGCGCAAAACGGAAACGAATGCAAAAGGGTCTTTAAGCTGAAAGCCACTCCGAGCCAAGCTGGGCACTACCCAACATGACAACTCCAGCCCCACCGGCCAGCAACCCGAAATCTTATCCGAGGGGCAGCCAATGACCAACACCACAAGCGGTCCGTCAGCTGCCTGGGTTCAGGCAGGTCAGAAGCTCTATGGCACGTACCCCTTCTCAGGTCCCTTTCCTGGCTCATCTGACCGTTTCAAATCAAAACTAAACTCCTGTCACATTGCAGTCATCCACTTTGGGAAAATACACATTGCCAATGAGTGAATGTTCATCCTCTCGTCACTTGCCTCCAGATATGTGTGTGCAAAAATCACAGCGGCAGTGCCCCAAACGTATCAATTAACTATTTTTTCTCGCTCTTTCCTGTTGGGAAGTACGACCCCTCGGGTGCTCCAAGCCACCGGTCCAAGCCTTATCTGACCATCAGGCATGAGGACATTCGGCCGCCTCGCCTGCCACGCCAGCAAACACCCTCCCCACAAAAACAGATTGGGGTGAGCCAGAAAAGAAATTCCGTTTTGAGGTGGGCTGTTCTGAATGGAAACCCACCAAGCAAAAATGGAAAGAGGGGCCACCTACCATTGCCTGAAGTCATGTGTCTGGTAGCATGTTTGCTTCCAGATCTTGCCTATCGGGCAGGCGCTAGTTCGTGCACACCACTGCCAGGCAAGAGCCCACAGCTCTACCATGCGAGTGCCTGACAATGGCTGCCTGAAGCCACAAACCTGAAAAAGTGTAACAGCACACAAATGGGCACAAACTAAACATGGTAACAACACACACAGACTAGGGTTGGGTTGCACAAGTTGGGCCATGGCATCTCTTTTCCGCGCCTTGGGCATCTCTTCAGCCTCCTCTGACTCGAGAAGCTCGGTGGTGACATGGCCTGGCACTCAGCCCTGTACGCGGCTTTCCTTGAGGCCATTGAGAAGGGGCCTAAACTAGGGAAATATCGAATGTGATTCTGCAGCCAGACTCAGCTTGAACTATATATCTTGGGGCTCCTGATCGCTAGGGGCGTTACTTGCTGCAGCAGGAGCCGCTGAATGATAAACACAATGGTCCGGATCCCCCTGCCAGACTCGGAGCCCGACTTCGTTAGGCCGTTCTCCACGACGATTTCTATTAGTCAGCGTCAAATTGTTGACCATCTAAATGTCTCGAGCGCAAAGTGCCGCATGTATTTCTGTGCATCGGAAAGTCCTTGCGGACGAGAACGGAATGAATCATCAAATCAAAGTGTGATGAAATCCGCAACCTCGCCAGTCAGGACCCCAATGCGCAATGATTAAGAGAACCCGATGCCATCACGTACGGGCAGGTCCAACCACAAATATGTTCACCACGCTTGCCAGGCAACGATTTCTATGGCACGAATATCCGTTGAACGCCTTGCCCTGAACAGAAAAGGCCGGCGTTCCGCCCAAAAAATCTAACGAGGATGCCCGTGAAGAGCCTGTGCCAATTAGAAATGTCCACACGAAGGTGTCTGAAGCAAAAGGGACGAGCAGCCATGTCCTTTGGAATGGTACCGGCCTGCGCTGCCAATGCTATTGGCCAACATGATCAACTCATCCTCCGCCTCAGCTGAAACCGCAACCTTTCCAGCTCAAGCAACGACTGGGTGCCTCCACCAAGGAGAATCGTTGTACGGGTCTCCTCTAAATTCCCGTATGACCTCCAAACTTCACAGCATGACTTTGCAGGGTCCAGCCTCGTCACGGGTCCAACGCCCCAAGGTCATCCCTTTTCCATTCAAACCCTGTCTGCTAAGTAGCCTGCAACGCGTAGGCTTCGAGTCTCAGCTTCTGCGAGCCCTGCAACGCCTGCTTCAGGCCACACACCACGGCCTTGGGGAAGTGTCTGAAGGCTTCCTGCGGCTAGCACATGCGAAACAACCGTGCAAACGGGCATTGCCAAGTTGGCCCTTTGCGAGATGGCCTCAACAAAAGCTACAGGAACCAATCCCCTAGTTTTGACAGTGGCCCAATGCCGATTCGGACGAGGCCCTCATAAGTGTTGGATGGTTTCGCGTCTTGCTGTTGTCGTTGGTACACTGCAGTTTTGAGGCTTCCCCTCTTCTTTTTATATTTCAACTGGCAGGGAGCTGGCAACATTACACAGTCAGGAATGGAACAACTGTTAACAACCTCCTTCCACATACAGCCGAGACACAAGTGAATGACATGTCATGAAGCCGGCATCTGCCCTAGATAAAATCTAAGGCAAAGGAGACGAAGGCATTTTCATTCCCTTTCCTCACAGCCTGCCTTGAATTGCACGCCCACCAGCATGTCTGGCACCGGGACCAAGAACAGTGAGGTCGAGGGATGACTTCCTGTCCAGGTCGGGAACTGGTTGGCTTCCGCCTACGCCAAACCTCAAAAACACGTTGGCCAAAGGGCTCCGGTCAAAAACACAGAAAGAGTGCACACATGTGTTGGGCGACCAAGGCAACACAATCTTGCACGCTGTTTGACCCGGAAAAGCTGCAAGGGGCCCAAAACATCTCGCTCATTGGTGAATTGCAACAATCATCTGTTGGAAATCAAATCGGTGCGGTTGCCCAGTCGATTTTCCGCTGCACACCCGCTTTCCAGATCCGTACTGAGCATTTCAGTCAAAGGGCTGGTCGTGGACATCCGCAGCCATGCAAAGCCAACAGACGGCACCAAAGCGCGCAAGGCGATCATGTGATTGACCTTGCGAGCCGGCGGTGACGAACCCGAACGACTCTCGAGTATGCGGTGGCCCTGAGCGCAGCTGGCACAAACTGACACACTTCAACTCTTGGAATAAAGTTCAAGGGAATTGTATTTGCAGCGTGCTAGGGATTTTGGATTTGGCTGCCCAATCGCGAGTGGCCGTGTTTCTCCTGGCGGGGCCTGTTACAAGGCAGGGGACCCTTAGAACGAACCTTCCTGGGAAACCTTGACCTGCCTATAACCCCCCCTTGCAAGGTTCCATAATGGATGGGATGCATTTGCACGCACACTCATGCAGCATGCCACAAATCAATCCTTCCTTCCAAGTGGCCGCATGTCTTGCGACAATGCCCTGTGCTGCCGGCAGGATGTTATTCACGACACGCGCACTTTCTCGGTTGTGCATCTCCTGGGCATATTGCCTAATATATTGACGACTGACGGGAATCAGGATCAAGCATGCACGTGCTTATCATACCTTGTCAGGCATTGTCGCAGCTCATCAGACTAAACATACTGCCATCTCACACAACTAGCTCGCCCAGTGGCCCTGTGGAACAACATGTTTTTCGGGTTGGCTGCATAATTTAAAGCAGTGAGTAATGCGCTGGGTCATAGCTTGTTCATGTCGTATCCGGGCCAAGCTTCGGTCCACACATCAGAACTGACAGCAGTGGGGAGTGCTCCAAGTGCCAGCAATGTCCGGATGGCCTGGCACATGCAGCTTGGAAACACGAGGAAACCAAATCCCTTTTCTGTTCTAAGGGGGCCAGACAACAAACAGTGCAACACACCGCATTCTTGGAGCATCCCTCCACTGACACATGCGAGCACAAAACGCCAAAGGACGGGGTCCTTCTCACCATGAATAGGACCCACCAATCCAGCCCAGGAACAACATTCCTTCGCAGTGGACCCTTTACACAGTTGTAGGCAGGCAGGATCAGTGGGAGACAAACACCAGACCGAAACGTCAATCACCCAGCGGCAACCTCGTGGTCAGAGCTGCTGTCGGTCTCAGCGGCACACATGATCAGGATGTGCTGCGCCAGGCAGGCATTCACCTCTTCAGCATGGTGAGGTGAGCCAACAAGCCATGTGCAATATGCCTCGGATGCACGTCCCATCATTGATATAGTCCCCAATGGAATGTCATACATCATCATCATCATCCTCATCCTCCTCCTCCTCATCATCCTCATCATCATCATCATCGGCAGCTTCACAAAGACCAACAACTTGCTTAAAAAACAGAACCTTGGCCTCCAGGAGGGTGGCTGATCTCTTCTTCCGAATAATTTAAATTATTGATAAAGCTCCCCCTAAAAATCAAATATGTTGTTGAGAGTCCCAAATCCGGGAATAAACTTCTAGAATAGGCCAAAGCTAAACCAATTCTAAAATAGGTATTTCGCCGCCCGTGGTAAAATCCAGTCCTATTAGGCGGGAGCACGTTTCCTTTACTACGCATGTACTACAAACTTGCGACTTTCGAGCCAGAGCTCCGTGAGTACGTTTCCTTTGCTACGGCTGTACGGCAAAGTTGCGACTTTCAATCCGAAGCTCCACGAGTACGTTCTCTTTACTATGGCGGCTGGCTCCGGGAGTACGTTTTCTGTACTACGGCTGTGCTGCAAAGTTGCGACTTTCGAGCCGGGAGCACGTTTCCTTCACTACAGGTGTGCTACAAAGTTGCGACTTTCGAGCCAGAGCTCCGGGAGTACGTTTCCTTTGCTACGGCTGTACGGCAAAGTTGCGACTTTCAATCCGAAGCTCCACGAGTACGTTCTCTTTACTATGGCGGCTGGCTCCGGGAGTACGTTTTCTGTACTACGGCTGTACTACAAAGTTGCGACTTTCGAGCCAGAGCTCCGGGAGTACGTTTCCTTTGCTACGGCTGTACTACAAAGTTGCGACTTTCGAGCCAGAGCTCCGGGAGTACGTTTCCTTTGCTACGGCTGTACTACAAAGTTGCGACTTTCGAGCCAGAGCTCCGGGAGTACGTTTCCTTTACTACGGCGGCTGGCTCCGGGAGTACGTTTCCTTCACTACTGGTGTGCTACAAAGTTGCGACTTTCGAGCCGGAGCTCCGGGAGTACGGTTCTCCGAACACGAACAGGCGGCCCCCAAATAACAAAAATGTTTTTCCCCGGGGGACCAGCTTAGTACTACGGGGGGGGGACCGTTTTACTATTGGGGGGAAGGGAATAAAACACTGCTGCCTGTTGGGGGGGGGGGGGGGTTAGGTGATGCTGTGTCGTAGCCGCGAGCTGGTTGACAGCTAACGCGGGTGCATCCCCCAAATCATGCCATAAGGAAGAACCAGGGGTTGGCCGGAGGGTGACACAATCTGCACAGACCTTCATCACGCCCTGCCTTTAACAGCTCGATCCTATGAGATCTGCAGCCCTCGCGGTAGGAGATGCAGCCCAGCTTCTTTGCTGCACCTCCGGATCGCTTCTGTCACTCCACTGCTCAGGTGAACAATTCCCGGCTCGAAAGAAACAATTCCGAAACCCCTCAATTCTGGGCCGCTCCAGAACTGTAGGAACAGGATGACAAGCAACAACGCGTAGAGTCAAGCAAGAACAACAGCAAATTGATGACAACTGTCGAGGTGTCCGCGCTCGCGCTCCTGCTTCCTTCACCCATTGCAAGTTTTGCAGTTCGGCTAATGATATGACTCTCGTGTTCCAAATACCCTCCGTCGGTCATTCTTGGCATGGAACAAGGCTGTGAAGTCTTTGTGGCTCATGTGTACCCAATAGATGCACAGCTGGACATGCACAATGGCAACGCGCTTCCACCAGCTAAACACAGCTGTTGACGCACATTGAAACAGTGGCCTCAAAGGGGAACATGAAGGCAATTTTCGTGCAGAAGCTGTGGTCCAAACGGGAAGGCCCCTGCAAATGCCCTTGTTCCCTCTTCACTGGGTGGCTGGCAGCACCCAGTTTCCTGAAAAAAGCAAATCATTACCTCAAACCAAGTGGTTGCAGAATCAATTCTTAGCGACAACCGGCAAATCCTTGAAACTTTGGGCAAGTCCCAGGCTCGATTCTCGTTGCACGACCGAACGACCCTGAGCACACATACCGCCAGCTTTGAGGGTCTCAGGTTTGAAGGTCCGCGAAAGATTCCCCCGCCTTGCGGATCCTTCGTGCGTAAATGCATCCGAACCTCCCGCTGCATTTCGCGCACCGGCCGCTCTGCAAGGATTACCTCGCAGGCGGCCAGCTGGCAGTCATAGGTGTCTCACTGTTTGTTAGGAGATGCATCAACCTAGCAAATACGCATCCCCTTTTGCATTCCTTTTGATTTAAAACGAACTATGGGTTTTTTGCCGAGTGGATCCAGCGTTCGAGGATAGCCTCCCATTTCCTCTGGCTAGCGTTGGGCCAGTCTGTCTCTTATCGTTGGGCAATCCTCTGATGCCTACCCAATTTGTGACCATTGGAAAAAACAAAAGCAGCAGGGTATGCAAGTGGACCTCTCCCCCTTGCCAAGGCTCAATCTTGCGGCGGTGACGGCGGCCGCAGCATCCGCAAAATCTTGCGCAGCATGCGCAACATCTTGCGCAGCATCTACAACATCGCCGCTTAGGCTCCTCTAAGTATGTGGTGTCCAGCCTCAGCCACAAAGCCATTCCCAATTCCAGCTCGCAGCGAAGAAAACCTTGCCAAATCTGAGATAGGTTGTCTTGCGCTTCGTGGTCTTTGCATGGGTGCTCTTTTTAAACTGGATCACCTCAAATGATCCCCTGCGAATTTGAGAAACAAGCAGGTAATGTTGTTGTTGTTGTGCACTGGCGCAATCGGCCGGCCCAGGGCCCAGAAGCCTAGACTTCAACATCAAACTTGACTCAAGCTTGCAGAAGCCAAGCACAACTAGCTATGAATCAATGAATGATACGGGGAAGCCAGTAAAAAAAACACACACACACACCAAAACTAACGGACACACACACACAAACACAGAGACACACACACACACAAACAGACACACACGCAAACACGCGGACTCATACACACACACAAACACACAAACACACAAACACACAAACACACAAACACACAGACACACAAACACACAAACACACAAACATCACAAACATCACAAACATCACAAACATCACAAACATGACAAACATCACAAACACCACAAACACCACAAACATCACAAACATCACAAACATCACAAACATCACAAACATCACAAACATCACAAACATCACAAACATCACAAACATCACAAACATCACAAACATCACAAACATCACAAACATCACACACATCACACACATCACACACATCACACACATCACACACATCACACACATCACACACATCACACACATCACACACATCACACACATCACACACATCACACACATCACACACATCACACACATCACACACATCACACACACACACACACACAACACACCACAAACACCACAAACACCACAAACACCACAAACACCACAAACACCACAAACACCACAAACACCACAAACACCACAAACACCACAAACACACAAACACACAAACACACAAACACACAAACACACAAACACACAAACACACAAACACACAAACACACAAACACACAAACACACAAACACACAAACACACAAACACACAAAAACACACAAACACACAAACACACAACACACACAAACACACAAACACACAAACACACAAACACACAAACACACAACACACAAACACACACAACACACACACACACACAAACACACACACACAACACACAAACACACACAACACACACACACACACACACACACACACACACACACACACACACACACACACACACACACACACACACACGCACACGCACACGCACACGCACACGCACACGCACACGCACACGCACACGCACACGCACACGCACACGCACACGCACACGCACACGCACACGCACACATATACTCCCGCTGCTGGCCGCTCACTCACTCTTCCTGTGCTAGTCTGGCTATGACCCCCGACTCCAAAGAGGAATGTAGCAAGGGGACCCTTTCTCTGAGTAAGCTGCTAAACAGCCGTGAGCGAGGTTCAACATCAAGCTGCAATAATTAGCCAACCAAGCGTCACTGCATCTTGGCAAAGCCTCGTTCAGAGCCCCCTGCATGTGTTTGAGGGTGATAGGGAACAAGGGGGATCCCTCAACCCCCAACTTCTCTCGAAAATACGGGCGTCTCTAGTAAATCGCTCTCCATGGATAAGTTTGCCCCGAATCCAAAGTGGCACGGCATTTCACCTTGCTCACGTCTTCAGATTGGCAGCAACTCTTCCAGCAGAAAGAGGGTCTTGTCCTTGGCTCCCACCCCCTTCCCACAGGTTGGGGTCATGCTCCTGCAAAATGACATGTAACCTGACCATTTCCCCGTTTGAAGAGGAACCCTTTTGCGGGAGGGCCCCTACAATGGGGCTTCATGACCATGGACAAGAGGCACCATGCATGAAAGGCAAAATTGTGAAAAAGCCACTGTTGCTGACTCTTTTGAGGGCGCCCCTTCACATGTTCGTAAGCAAATTTGCTCCCAGCGGTTCTAGTAGTGGGCAGCTAAAGCGGGATGGCCCTGGCGTTGTTGAGATTTCCTGGACGCTCAAGACACTCAGGGAAGCATGCTAAGGCCGCGTCGCCCCAGCCCAGGATCAGCAAATGGTCGTATGCATCCACCTTGCTATACTTCACCTTCCAGTGCACCAAAAAGGATCGCATCAGGTCCACAACCTCGGCCAAAGCTCTCTCAAGTGAAGCACAGGGTTGGACGCAGCTTAGCTCCCAGCCATGCCCAAAAAGGTCAGGCAATACCTAAGTTTGCGGCCGTGGCAGATAATGGCCTCCAGTGCCTCCATTGCCACCCCAAACTCTCCCTTAAGCTTCCAATTGCTTTGACCATGGCAACTGTTATTTCTTGGCTGTCCATTTGAGATGCTGCACTAAGGTGAAGCAGGGCACACGAAGCCAACGATGGAAATCACCACGGCCACACATCGCACGACGCCGCTTTCCTCAGAGGCACGACTCCACCCAATGCGGCGCAAATCTTCCAAACATGTGCCTTCGGCCAAAAGACCCCGCTCGAGTGCAAGTCGAAACTCGTTGGGCGAAAAGCCTGTCTGGGTGCCAATGTCCACCAACAGCACATAGGAGATCCTCGCATGCCAAACGCAGAGCGATCTATCACTCCTCTTCTTTGCATTTTCTCAAGTGTGCGATGGCAAGTGCAGTCTGCCATGCTTGGCAACGAAACCAACAAAATTGCGATGTGGGCTTTGTTGCAGCACTTGAGGCATGGGTGGATGAAAGCTAGCCAAGCTAGGAAAGCATGCACACAGGCGCAAGCACAGCAATAAACGTAAGTTGCAGAAACATCGCGATTGAGGCGTTACGGAGAACTGCAAATCATGGAAGGTGAAGGGAGGGCAGAGAGGGGCATTTTGACGACCAGATCCGCACTGCATCAAAGGTCACCTCCCCTACCTCTCCTGCAACCAATTTTTGAGACTTGCCACCTCCATTCAGCAAATATGCTTCTCCAGCAGCCCCTTTTGCACTCCAAAGCCTTTCCAGTCGATTAACAGGGCCAGCATTATATATATATATACATATGTTCGCTGGTCGTGTCTACAGAGCACTACTTGCAACCATGACTTGCCTGATGGCGTTGCAAGGGCCTTGGAACATGGAACTGTGTTTGAGAACACTGTCATTCATGTGATGCTTAGGGAAAATTGGGAATAACCCCCGTCCAACCAACAAGGTTTGCAGGAAATGATAGGCGGAGGTATTCCCATATTCTCTGTTGGCATCCAGCCAGTGAATTGGCAAGCAAACATTCTTCCACAAGAAGAACATGCTGAGAGAGCTCCAAATTTTTGACTACTCCGGGTAGGCCTAAACTTAGGGGGTTCCCTTTTGGGATGAGGTCTACCTTGGGGTTGTCACAAAATGGAACCCCGCCATACTGAAGCCATGCTGGGTGCTAGCCCATGCTGGCCGACCTTTTCCCGGTTGCATTGGCGGCAGTTGAGTCAGTTCCCCAGAATGTGCAGTAAAGATTGAAGAATCTAATGCCTTGCCTACATGATTTCCCGCACACACACACAGACACAGACACAGACACAGACACAGACACAGACACACGCACACGCACACGCACACGCACACGCACACAATGCACAACACGGCCTGACACTAGCTCACCTTCCCAGCACAGCACAGGAAGAACCTGGTATCCAGTTCCCTTCCCATTCGGGACGAGAGACCAAAAGCTGTCTCGAAGGCCCGTGTCGTAGTCTTCATTTCCACCTGACAGCATCCATGCCAGCATGCACGAGAGCTGGATACCTTGGCTGGCAGGGCAATGCTTGGCCCTTTGAGCTTTAACAGGGAACAGGCAAGTCAACAATCTGGGTTGATACAAATGGGGAGAACCCCTAGTCCCGATCTGCAACCCATAGTGGCACACCAGTACAACAAGGGACATCGCTATCATCTGGCCTAATGATTGAGAATTGGATTTGAGCAACCCGGATCATCAAAGCAAGCGAAGCACAGTCGCAAAATGCGCGCCAGCGAGGAAAAACCTAAAAACATATATCTAAGAGCAAAGACGTGCACAGCAAAACCACACCTCTTACAGAAACCTGGGGACACTGGTGCTTGAGTATTAGGGGAGCATGAGGCCAAACAAGGCAGGGCAAAGCAACGCAAGAAAGAAAGCAACAAACGCCACTGTGGCGGGTCATAATGTGGACAATAGCGGGGCCTAAGAGCACCACAACATACAAGCACACCCACCACACACAAGCTGCCAAACTGCCAAAGACAGTCAATACAGCCACCAGCAAAATCACAAAACACAAGAACATACACCTACATATGCACATAGACATATCTAGTATATACACGTACGTTAAGTATGCAGCCAACAAACACTCAGAGTTGGCCATTGGACAACCCTGACACAGTTCCAAATGGACAATACTTACTGTCGGGTGCCTCACGAACTGACAACATACCAACGCCGTCAGCAAAGGGAAGGAACCCGCTTGTTGGCATGCTCCTTGCATGTTAATTCCCGGAAGGCAAGCACGGGGCGACTGACCCAAGCCCCCCCAAGGCCGGGCTGCAGCATCCTGCTAGGAACAAGGTGAGCCAGTGGCCAGGCCTGAGAGGGGCCGGAACCATAGAACCAAACTCCCCTGGTGGTAGCCACTCCCCGGGCAAGAGAGAACACCTACGTGAACGACTCAGCTTTTCACTGCAAGAGCCTACAATGTCCTGGAACTTCAAGATGCTTGTGCTACAGGTAGGCTAAGGACTCCTCGACTGAGGTTGTATTCAACTACTGTATGCTGTGTAAACGACTGGGCATTGGCATAGCAACACATGTGAAAACCAAATGCGTTGACCGGTTGACAAAGGAAAGTTTCATAACCTAAAGGCATGAGATGTGGCCTCTGACGGGGGCCGTGCAGGGGGGCTTCTCCTGTGACACGAGTGCTGGTGGCTTGGCGAGCAGCGGCAGTCTGAAGCCAGTGTTTCAAGGGTTCCATTCACCACAAACTTGCACTTGCACGGGGAAACTGTTGTCGGTTGGCCTGTCTTTGACAATGAAAAACAACCCAGTGAAATCGCTATGCGTAACATTTAAATAGAGACAGGACTAGAACATAAACTGTACTAATTTTGACGGGGTAAGCAGCACTGCTTGAAAGAATGGCTGCACAGTTGCTGCATATACAGTTTGAACAGAGTTGGTTGAAACTGCATTTTCGGGTGCCATACCCCGGCAATTTTCATTTCATATGCGAGTGTGGGATGAATGAAACGAGCGGGTTTTAAAAGTCTTCCAAGTTACCAGCTTTGTTTCAAACAACTCTTTGACAGGATCTTTACGACATCAGGAAAACGTTCAAGTTTTGTTCGTGGGCTGGCCAGGGACAAGGATGCGAGCGCTGGTAGGTGCTTGCCCACAGGGCTAGAGTTCACATCACAAAATACCAGTCTGCCAGGCCATACTGCCACCAAATTCGTCCCACTCCCCCACAGTGAGCTGTTTTTGGTAACACGAGCACGTGTATGTACGCCGTGGGGCTCACGGTTTGGGAGTAGTGGAAACCCTCTTGGAGTGCAAAACAGGGCCTGGGGCGATAGAATGGAATGGGATGGTCCGGTGGGTAATTAGTTGTGGAAAATGGGCGAAAAGTGAGAACCACGAGTCGCTGCTGGCTCGTCTGAAGAACAACAAATAACAACAAATAGCAAGCAGATTTCTCCTACAAGCCGGCCCATCCAAGTGAAGAAGCAAACAACTTACATGGGAATCCCCACACCATTTCCCAAAAAACCTGCAAAGGCAAACGCACGCTAAGCTTTCGCTCGATTCGAGTCCAAGCCGCGTGGTGCCCAGAAGCCGCGTCCGCAAGCCAGTCTGCTGCCGGATTTCCGTATGCTTCCTTCGGCACCAGTTGCACAGGTTCATGAGGCATTGCTGGGACGAGCAAACTTCTAGTAAATGCAACTCCTAGCTTGATTGGCTGGGCTGAGTCATTTGGGTCTGGGTCTGGTATAACTATTCCACGTGACAGCTTCATGATGTACTGCTGTTTGGTCGTCTCGGCAAGTCATGCTCTGCCTGCAGGATGGCTGAACCATAATATTGAGCTGAATCGGCTGAAGGCTGCCCTGTATTTTCGCGCTTCCCCTCAGCCCTCCCTGGCAAGAGCACAAAGCTCAGCAACATGGATGTGCCAATCTCTTGTGTTCATCTTCAAAGAAACGAGGTACCAACATGTTGCCACACATGGCTTCACATGCCTAGGCTTCTGGACGATACTAGTTTTCAGCACGGAGCGCCCGTCAAGCACTTCCAGGCGCAAACACAGCCCATGGCTTTGCTGTCGTGTCTCCCGTGTCGGATTTCGGTACCAAAGCTCATGGTCATGTGCGCGCCGCACCAATATTTTGCTGAGAACCAGCTGGCTGTGATCAGTCACAGCTCTTTGCCCTGCGTAGGCCCTGAAAATACCTGAGCTGAGCGCCCAAAACATGAAGCTGGCCAACTGGTTTGATACCTCCCCGATGCAAAACATTCGGTCCACAAATTTGGCGGTGCTGCCCTGGATTGCCCTGGCCTCATGACCCTCTTGCCCAATAAAATCGCCCAGTAAAATGGTGCCTTTGCGAGATGCTTGATTTGGATGCCTTGGCAACTCTGCCAATGCCCGGGCAAAGGCTCCCGCTTTGTCGAACAACCCCTTGCCCAACCACATCGCGACTCTCGCGACATCTGCGTCAACTCGTCCTCGATTCCGTGCGATCTTAGGCTCTGAGGAGGGCAGCAGGCCACAAAGATCTCCATGTTCGAGTCCGCTTCGAAGGTAGGCTCAGAGCCAGGTGGCAGCAGCAAGACCTGGATGCGCGCATGAACGCACCCCACACGAGGCTGAACTCGGGGTACGCCACCTCAAGCATACATTCAGCTATGGGGAAAGATGGGAACTCATGTAGCTGAGCGCTTCCACTTCTGCATTCTACAAATTCGCATTTGGGGGTTGATCAACATTCCGCACCCCAAAATGACCATGGATAACTTTTCCCAGTTAGTGGGACATATTATTTGTTTTGTGGTTCTCTCCTCTGCTTATCTCATGTAAAGGACCGATTGATCAAGCCCCATTTCCAGTCAATTGCTCACATGGGCCCAGTTGCCCTCCACCCGGCCTTGCCAGCCCCGATCTCCTGGCGGGACAAAAGCTGCAAGGGGGTGCCGCAGTTGTGGCAACAGTTGCAAGTAAAGGCTTCTATGAACTTTGCGTACCTGGGTAAGGTTGGTTTCAGAGGGAAGCCAGTAAACCAATGTCACGATTGAACACTGGTACCTGAAAGGAAACCAAGAAGGGAATTAATACTGAGAGCAAGCCTGCGCAACCCACTGGATGGAATATGTGGTCCTGTCTCTCTCCAGCGCTGCTGATCGAGCCTAGCATGCCAAATGCTCCAGTGACACTGACAAGAAAACGCATACACACATATGACGCCTCAGAGCTGGGCAAATGCCCATTTGTATTAAGCAAGTGGAAATCACAGGTTATCGTCGGGTGGCCCGGACGTGAAAAAAGTCGAAACCAAGAACCGGGTAAACACCAGGTGAACACCAGGTCACACTCCGGGAGAAGCAAGCAGGGTCCATGGTCTGCGGCTGGTTTAATTGAAATATGCAGGGCATCCACCTTTGGGTTGACCATCACCAGTGGGAAGCCCACCGCAAGAGCAAACGGTGACCTTCCACTTGCTTGAGCCCCCTGGAGAAAAAACAACATATGTCCAGTGATAGATTCCCTTTAAAACATATTCGCTTCAGCAAATTAGAAGTGACGGAACATCACGGAACAACTGGGGGGCATTGACGGATTGGACCGTCAGACCGGGGCGCCGAAGCCGCTAAGGTTCAGCGCCAAGGCAGGGCCCTCGCTGCTGAAGATACGACAGGTGCGGCCTGCCGAGGCCAACAAATTGCGACTGCCGAAGATGCCTTCGAAGGTGCAAACTGACTTTGGAGGATGAAGAACATAAAGTTGCCTATGTAAATAAGTCAGTTTGCAAGAAAATAAACAAGCTCAAATTCTAGCCCCCGAACTCACACTTACTATATCAGCAGCCGTTGCTGCTTCATAGAGACTATGCTCTGGTGTCGAGAATATCTGCCGGCGTGTTTTTGTTTATTCCACATTCTGGGAATTTGCACAGTTTTGTCTTAGCACTAACCTTTGCAATGCTGTGGGACAGCATATCCATCGAGCTTGGCTATTCCATGATTTGCCAAGAGATAAGAGGGGAAGACAAAGGCCATCGAGGCCTCTCAAGCTGGGGACCTCCAGGCCCCCCAGTTGTACACGATTTCTCAAAATATGATTTACAAACTATGAGTTGGCGTGGAAATGTGGGGAGGGGGTCCGGGGCAGGCAACGGGCCTCCAGCTGGCAGGTGCAAGTGCGTGACCTGGAACTCCTGAAGCATGGGTGAAGGACTGCAAGTGCAAAGAATCTACGGCGATTGCGGCGTTTTAGGGCGGATCCGTTCACTCTTCCATGGCTGAACAAAACAAAAACCACTTACTCAGCTCGTCACGTCAGGTTATTTGCCGACCTGTTAGTAAATGCATTCTCCTTTAGAAGGAACTGCTGGCTTGATCTTGCATGTTTCTTGCTTCAGGCGTCCTCTATGCAGGAATCAGCATAGAGCTTGATGCCGTCCTCTATCCTGAGTCAATTTTGCAGGCTGCTGCAACCACGAATGCTGTTCATCGCGCTGAGCTTTTGCATCCTGCCTACGAAGGCCACACTTAAAGCGGCAAAAGCAATCCAGCGCATATATATGCCCCCCACAAGCCGCATCAGAAATTGCGAGAGTCTTTGCATTGAGGTGGGGGGTGGGCATGGGCTCCCTACCTCCTTGGGAGTCCCCCCCGCAACCTCGCTACCTGGCTGCGCACCAAGCTGCTGTGTAGGTTTCAAAGTAGCAGGTGGCCCACCTGGGAGAGAGGAAGAGGGCCATCACCGGCGGGAAATGGAAACGCACAGCGTCTTGACAGGCGTTCCCTCAATCAGCTTGCAAGCATCTTCTTTTGGACATGGGCATGCCTTCAATGGATCCGTTGAGGTCAACGCAGCTCGTATTGCTTGCCGGGCCACCGTGCTAGCCGAACAGACATGCACAGGATGCCGGCATGCCCCACCACCCCTCGCACTGGACACCCTGCCCCGTCGGAACCTGATAACCCAGGCTAGTTACGGTCCCTTTTCTGTATCCCTTGGACCACCCTTGGACATATCGCACCCTTTGAGGGCCCTGAAAAGATCGCAAAGGAGTCCTTCCACGATCCCCCCAACCAAGACAAACAACTTGGATTGGCAGTCAGGTATGCCGTGCTGGTCCGTGCGGGATCTCGTGACTCGGGCCTGCGTAGTTCAGCATGGAGCACAGAACCTCTACGTCCTGCAGCTGCGGTCGGAGCCTTTGGCTTTCTTTGCGTGCGCTTTTTGAGGCCTGAGGCCCTCCGGGAGCCAATCTCAGTCGGGTCGGAAGGGCAAAGGGCGGCTTCATGACGCAACGCCCGAACCCGTGACATTCCACGACCTCTCATACCAGTGAATCAAACAAAAGCTTGACTCCATCATACGATGCCAAGTAGGCAAAGAGGGGCGCAACAATGCCAGGTGTGGTGGATACCATGGATGAACAAAGTAGGACTCTTAGCTTTGGTGAATCGAGCGCAATACCGCGTGCATGTTGGGCCAGTGCTCAAACAAGAGAAGCTGGTTGGCCTGCGCTATGGCAATTGATTCATTGTTACTCCATTTGCGCGGTTACACGACGCGTGCTTTAGTGGCAAACATGTTGCTCGCAACTTGGCAACGGTCAATCTTGACGATTTGGCTCCAGCTTCGCATGCGCATCTGGTCTTTGCATGCCGGCCTACAAAGCGGATTGCAGCTTTTTCACCGGATGTGCAAATCATGATGGAGGATCAAGCTGGGGTACCAAGTGCGCTGGCAAACGCAAGCGTGTTCCATTGCCAAGTTGTCCTTCTGTCCCTTTCTCTTGTTAATCATGCAGGCCTGTTCACGTGACAAAGGATGCAGAATAGTTTGCAAGGCCCACATCCACCGCTTTGACGATGTAAAGCAGCTGCTGGAGGACTTTGTGACTCACTGAGACTGCATCGGCGCGAAGTTCCAAAACCGCTGAATTTCCCTGCGCCTTGCATGACGTGTGCACGCCTGGAACAATCAAGCCGCCACTTCGCAGCCCGTTCGTCCTTGAACTTTGGTGTCAGGCCTCCGCGCACGACATTGTCCGAGCACGCCATGCACCTGAAATAAACTGCAAGCCCAAGCTAAATAACCCAAACGCGACATGAAAGGCTTTCATGAGCCGAGCCAACTCTGAACCGTGCCACTCATCTCGGTACGCTATGGCTAGGGGCAAACCACACGAGGCCACAAGCAGTGTGGAGGAGCAAAACTGGAGATTTAGAAACCCTTACATTTGCACCGTTGTAGACCGTCTTTCAGCTCGCTCTCTTTGAGGAAGCAGGGATCTCTCTGAGCCCCCCAAAAAAGAACAAACAACAACTAAGCCCGCAGCTCGACGATGTCTCCAGAGATGTACGCGTGGGGCACGTTCTGTGCCATGTAAAGGCCTGAAATCAACCCACAGGTGCTCCAAACGCGGGTGCTGTTGGGAACATCGTTGACGCAGGGCCTGCGTCACTTGAAAGCAAAGCTGCGCAAACAGGAACGAGCTCACACAAACTCGCAGTAGATCCAACTGAGAGGCATTCGCCCACATTCAGCCGCAGGTGATTCATGAAGAAGACGGAGAAAATGCCTGCCACAATTGAGAGCGGACCGGTTGAGAGTGTAAAGCAGCCACGGCGCGCCGATCAAAGGCTGCCCGGAATGCATGATAGTCTGTCGTCACTTGGTGTTAAAACAAGACCTGATCAAATTATGTCTCACAATGTGTGTGGCTTCCTGAGCCCCGCGTGATTCCGATGCGGCTTTTAGTGAAACTCAGGAAGCTTCTCACGGCTGCTGGGACTCCAGCTTTCACCAGAAAACGTCAATCTGAGTGCAAGCCTCATTTGGCTCCCTGTTACGGAGAATGACCTCAACACCTTGTCCGACAAGCTCACTGCCTACGTCGTCCGGGTACTGCACATAGAGCTTACCTAGGCAAGGCTCGCTCACATCAGAGTTTGTCGATTTATTAGCCCGTCCAACATTGTAATGCGATTTTGAGGGGATGCTTTTTCGTCTGTGCTTGCTTCGTTTCTTCGCTTTTTCGGCCAGGGGTGTTGCTGCTGATGCTGGGGTGTTGCGGGGGTTTATGAGTGATGCTTGGGGGTGTTGGTGGCACGACTTGCCAGAATTGCATCAGGTATGTTTTGAAGACAATCCTGAAAACAAGCACAACACAATCCCAAATTACTTCCGCACTCCTGATCCCAACCTCCCAAAAGCCCTGAGCATTCAAGCTGATGAAGACAGTTTGAGACAGGGTACTGTGGGGAAGCACGTGAAACATAGCTGGTGTCTACGCTTGTAGATGCACTGCGAATCACATCCGCTGCATATCCAATGCAAAAGGTGCCACCAACACACAGCAGGCAGCCACGATATCGCAAAGCCAGGGGGCAAACCAGCTGGAAGGCGTCCTAAAGGGCAAGGACACTTGGAGGGCCTCTGGCTTTGGTCATTGGGCCTGTAAGTGGTGTTCGGTGACGTTTTCAATGGGCCCACCACGCACAGAGCCAATGCAATCATGCAACATTGGCACAGGAACCTGAATATCTCCCAAGAGCTGGGCTCTTAAAGGGGCAGGGTACTTAGTAGGTTAAGTGGGCAATAACCAGGGTTATGACCCACTTACCATAGTTATAAGCCTCCTCAGTGGGTCACAACCAGGCTTACTAACCCACCTAAGTACTCTGCCCCTGTAAGCTCAAGATGGTTTGCCCAAATTCCTGCAGGCAACGGCTGAGCCCGGTTCCCACCTGCAGACAGGCCAGCTCACCGGTCGCAATCTTCGCGCGTTCGTGGAGCCGCCGGGCCTGTCTGCAGACCTCCTCGTCTGGTGCGTGCATCCTCGGCGAATTGCCAAGAAGTGCGACCCAAGATGTGTCCTAAAATGAGTCCCACAATGTGTTGGAATAGATAAATAAACAATGCATAATGAATAAACATATATATATATATATACACATGTACATATATTCATACATTCATATTTAACATGTATTCATATGTCTGTGTGTGTTGCTATGTTGAGGGCACCTGTTGTTGCTAGGTTGGTTATTACAAAGGTAACACCATTTTTTGGCCTCCTGTTTGTGACTCATATCCCTTGAAATGCTGTTGCCATTGCTTTTGCAAATTGTCGTGCATCCGTCTGAGGCTGCATCAGGGCGTGTTCTGAGCTCTTCAATGGGCACTTGGACTCTTAGGGTAGTGAATTGAACCCGCCAATAAGGGGCCCCCATAACCGCCATGCCAAAAGTCTCTCTCCGCGTCTGTTTTGTCTGTCCGGCTCTCTGTCTCTGTCTCTGTCTCTGTCTCTGTCTCTCTTTGTCTCTCTCTCTCTCTCTCTCTCTCTCTCACGTTCGATGGAATCCATCGGAGTCCATCACAAGCCAACTCACACAAAACTCCGCCAGGCAGCATGCTGGAGTACGCTTGCCGCAGCGCCTCAGTTGGCCCGGCCCATGGCTTCACACAGAAAAGGATATTGCAAACGCCTTGCTATGTGGGTGTGGCTTCATTTGAGGGTCGCCTTTAAGAGGTGTTCAAAGGGAAACCCAAAAAACAGCTGGCCTGAAACCCCGAAATACATACGACAACGGCACCAAAACCAAGCAGCCACACCCCACCTCACAGGCCCAAACAAAAAAGACGAATTCACCCCAAAAAGGTATGGGCACCCCAACCCTCTACACCCCTCCCGCTTGCACCTCCCCCCGGCAGTGCACAATTCCATTGTAGTAAGCCTTCCTCCCCCCTCCCTTCCCACCCTTACGAAGCACCCCTCTCCCCCTCGCTATTATGCGAAGGCTTCCTTAACCGCCCTTTGCAACCAAGCTAAAAGGTTCCGCACCTGGGGGATCTGAGGCTATTCTCTGCAAACGTGATGCTCTCAGGTGCCCCGGTATAGCCACCATCTGGATTTGAAAGCCAGGTCAGTGAAGGAAATCACGCAACACAGCTTCAGTCTTGCAAAGCCGAGCAAAGACCAGGCGCAAGTGAACAGCATGAATAGTCTCAATCAAGTGCAGAACCCCTTCTGTCCTCCAAAGCAAATGAAGGTTGTGCTAAACTATTGCGCAGCCCCAGAACACCAAGACGTTCCTTTCACGAAGGCTTGTGTGGGGCTGCCGCGTCTGCGAGAGCTTAGGGAGCAACTGCAACGGTCCTCTCCCAGTGTGTCATCAAGTAAGGTTGAATTATTCACCGCAAAGTACTCGACCTGCGCAGTTAGAAGGGCGGGTTTGCCCCAAAAGTGAAGCAAAGGCTTGCCAGACTCGTCCAGGCGTCGTCAGCTTCTTTGGCTGTATCGCCCACAGCCGCCCCTAGCGCTCCCACGGCTGTCGCCCCGATGAGGTCTGCCAGCTCCGGCACACGCCTGAGCAACTTCCAACGCCCACTTGTCAGTAGGGTCAAAAGTAAAAGGTCATATTTGCCTACTTGACTGTACTGGATCCTGGGTTGCATTGACGTCGGATGAATCTGAAGTCCCCGCTTAAAGTGATATGCTCTTTTTGGAAGTCTTACCAGGGTCTTCTGGAAGTCAAAATAGGGTCACCCCCCAAGGCTTTTAGTTGAACCAAGCCCAAACGGGCACTCTCAAAGGAAGGGCAATCTTTGCTGGGTGGTTACAATAGAAGCCTAGACTTCCATTCAAGTAAGAATATGTTTTTTCCCCTGTTGGTTTGAAAGGGAATCTATCACTACTGGAAGTATTTTTTCCCTGGGGACTTAAGCAAATGCAGGAAGAAGACGCCACAGATTTGGGGGTGCCCCCAGTCTAAGGCACGCTGCGTCTCCAGGATTTACCCAGTGAAGGTTGACATGGACCCCCCAACAAAGGTCTCCACAAGGAGACCCCTGTACAAAACACGCGAATTGACGTTCATTTTGAGAGTACTTCTCGCTCGCCAGGTCCCGGCACAATGAAAGATCCCGAGGCCTCTCCTGGAAACCAACTCTTGGGCTCGGGCCCGGTGTTGATTGACTCAGAGAACACGATTCCTAATGCGTTGATGCGGGAGTCACTGCACGACTTCAGCCTGACTGTGACGTGGAGAACATTGTAGAGCTTCATCTGCTCAGGAAAGTTGTTGAAGGAAAACAACGAGCCCCGCGCCGAAAGATGAAAGGGCGGAACACACACTTCATGCGAGCCCCAGTCAGAATTGATTGTTTCCCGAAGTGCTACTGCCGCCAAGATGCGGCAGCATCTGGACAATCTCGCTCACTGCCCTAAAGCCACCTTGCTTGTTCAAAGGCTACCCGGTGCGGGGCATCAGTGTCAGCACTGCACATGAACGGCAAGGCAAGTGTTCATGACGCAGACTGCAATGGCACAAGCAATATGCTTGCCGTCTAAGGGTCAAAGTGCTTGAAAATCATCACTCAGGGCGATCGCTATCTCCGGCTTGTGGTTTGCATCCTTGTAGACATCTGGCCTCTCCCTATGCAGCTTTCCGGCCAATACTTTGTCAGGATGTGCCTGAATGGACAAAGCCTTGTGAATGGAGAGCACCTTCAGCAAGAATGGCAACTGTTTGGAATCTGAAAGGGAGGGCCCCAGCAGTGAGGGTGATCTCTTGATCACGTCCTGCAAGGGAGTGCTCCTCAGGGTGCATTGACTAAAAGTGCTTGCTCACCTGCAAGCTAACATGGAACTCAAAAAGCATCAACACCTCGTTTCTTGATTCTTGAAACACACCACACGCTATTTCAAAACTTTGCACCCTCCTCTTGACAGTCGCTGCATCTCGGTGTTCCGGACTCCTAGGGCTCACCACCCTTGCGGGTCCAGAAGGGTGGTCACCCATCCACAGCTCGGCGAAAGGCTTGCTTTCGTCGAAGGAGTCCTCAAGCCTGAGACCAAAAGAAGCCCACCAGTGAAAACCCGGGCTTCAGCTTGGTCCTTTTTGGCGCAAGTCCCGGGCTTGCGCACAAATCACGACTATCTTGGGAGAAACTATGAGCCCATACTGGAAAAATAACCCCTGCCCCCCCCCCCCCAGGAAACCTAAAGATTTCGCTTCAGAAGCAAACAGGTTCCATGTCGAAAGCAACTGATCATCTTGGTGAAACGTTGACCCCCTGATGATTAATGAACCCTAGTCAAAGGGCTCCTTCGAAGAAACCAGCCCCAACCAAAACAAGGAGGGCTTCCCTGAGCAACTACGCGAGGTCATTGATTCATAAATGGACGCCCGACAGGTAACGAAGGACACCGCTTTTGTTGCTTCACAGGCAGCCAGCAGGGACTCTCCATTCGCAAATTGCTATAACTCAAAAGCCAGAAAAAGGGATCCCATATAAATCCCCTGACAAACGGCCATATGATGGGTGAGCTCATTGTTGCGCCCACATGTTTAGGCAACCTTCGAACCGCTGTTCTTCTGAACCGGGCTTCATGTGTGGCGGGGACTGCTGGCCCGTGAGCGCTGCAATGATGCTTTCGTTCCGCGGCTTGCCTCAGCTCCACAATGGCATGGTGTCCGGTTGCGCGAGGTTTCTTGGAACATTGGAACAGGAAATCATGGAGTGTGGGTTGCATATTAGGCCACTCGGCACCTGCTAGAGTTGCTGCCCCACAGACTAGCATGGAAGCGGACAAGCATCACGTTCAGAGGATTTGTTGGGGAAAGGACGCCTTTTTGAGTTCGATATTCATTTAGAGGAAAGTGAATGAAAGCCAACATTTTTGCAATGGGCGAGTCTTTTCGTTGAGGCACCCTTTTGGGAATATTTAGGCACTATTTTGGGAAAGCACTCAGTTTCGGGACCCCGGTGGCCCATTGAAGTGCTGCTGCAGCTGCCCCAGTCGTAGTGCTGCGTATAGGGCGTCAAGGACAGCAGCTGAATCCCAAGGCCATCCACCATCTGGATGCCCAGCTGGACACAAACCTTGAGCTCCTGGAAGCGACCAATTTGCACTGCCGGACACATTGCTTATTAGTTTGCTTGCTTAGTCGGTGTGATTGCCTCTTGGAAATACAAGAGCCAGCTGGACAAAAATGCGCACGCGACTTGGGTTGCTGTGGTCAAGAATGAATCCAAGCGACGCCAGAAAGCAGAATCAGGCCAAAAAAAGACTTCATCTTGTGCAAGGTCCCCCCCCCCCTTCTGGCCGCGCCGCAATTCGGCTGACTAATGTCCTGCTCGTTGGGTTTTTGGCCGCCGCCGTTTGCAAAGACGTCCGGGTGCAACAACCGCAAGGTCTCAGCCACGGACTCGCCATCATCGATCGCTTCCAACGCAGCATCAACGCACTGGAGCGAGCGGACCAGCTTCACGCGCTCTCGTGCCGGTATGTGCGGTCCAGCGCTGGCCCGCCTTCTTGCCTGCCCGTGAAATGCCGTGAGCACAAGAAACAGTGGCAACTTAATAAGGACTTGGTCCAATGTTACAGTGAAGATATAAAGGCTGCAAACGAGATGCGGCTTGAATATCATTGTTCACAATGACGATGAGGCTGGTTCCGAGATCCCGCGCCTACAATGGGACACACTGGAAAGTACTCACTGCTCTGGGCAAGTCAGAGCCATGGCAAACACACCCTCAATCCCCAAGAAGGAGGGGAGATCTGGGCAAATTGCTGGTGCAGGCCATTGATTCAGACCGACGTCCAGCCTTTTCAAGGTATGACACGTGCCCATAGTGCAAAGGGTTGAAGTAGCCAGAAGCCACGACGACACGCTTTGTCATCGCCTATGGCCAGCTGCGCTAGCGACACTCAACTCAACGATCCAATTGTCGCCTGCCGAATCTGCCTGTGGCAAGCCGTGGACCATGGACCCCCAAGGGGTAAAGCCTTACGGGCGTGTCCTTGTCCTAAGCTTCTCCAGAGAGAGGCCCACCCCCCACCCCCCCTGGCCCAATAGCCCATTTCAGGGGTGCCTGACCAGAGGCCACCCATTCAAAACATAATGACCACTCTTCCAGTGCCAGGCCGCCGCAAGCAGAGATGGCCACGGATGCAATTCGATCTACTGCAATCAAGGGCTGCAGGTAGCAAACTGCATCATACGCAGTCAAGTTCGCATGTAGAACACTCATGCCCTATCATGCGTGCGTGTGTGATTGTACATCCTCGCCTTAGGCCTTGTCATCCCTTGCAATCATCTTGATCCACGCCATTGCAATCATCTTGATCCACGCCACGTATTGCAGAGTCACAATCAGCACGTGGTGCTACAAAGCCTAAATAAAATCATGGCCAAGGTTCTGTTTGTGTTTCGTCGGCAATTGTCAAGGCAGGGCGACTCGCAGTCGCACACCAGTCATTTGCATGAAACCATGGCCCGGCACTTTGCGCGCTGCGGTCATGCCCTTTTTGCCGCCAGTCATGGGGTCTGACCTCAGGCCGAACCGCCTCGCTAAGCGTCGCTAAGCCTGGCTCATCTGAGCTCCCAGCGCTTCGTGGCAGGGGCGCCAGTCTCCTGAAGGAAAAAACAGCTCCCCGATAATCTGACATGGAACCTCAGCGACAAATCAGAGGGGCGATCCAGGCTTCAAGCAACTGGAAAACAGAAAACACCCAAATGGATTGGTTTTATGTTTCTTCTCGCGAGATGCACCGTGGCAACCGCAGGAGCAACCCGCCAAGCCAGTGGTGAGCTGCCGCACAGGTCTTGGACGTAGGTCAGCGGACAAATTGGACAAACAAGCCAACAAACACTAGCTCCTAACTAACCTCGCCCGGTTTAGCTACACATAGCCTCACTGAATTGCTCGTTATCAATAGAACCGATTGTCAAGAACCATCATTGATCCTTGGGAGCTGGGCGGGACAAGAATTGGACATCTTCAACAGGCATGAGAGGAATTGCGGATTTATCAGGCTATGACTTGCGATGCGTTCACTTCTCAAATGTTGTGGGCTTTGCCCGAGATGAGGGATGCCAGGCTAAAACTAAGTGACCTCAATGGCATGAGGGGAGTGGGGGGGCCAAAACAACCCTTCAAATTCTTTTCTTTCCGGACCTTGCCGACCTTGACTTCTTTTCTTTTTTGTGGGGGGGGGGTGGTAGGGTTCATTCATCGGGGTGTATATATTCTTGTGTCTTACGTCCGGGCCCGGTTTGCATCATGCTCTTATCGGTGTATGTACCTCTGGTAGACAAGCTTACATTGCTTGGGGGAATTGGCGTTTCGCGCCATTGCTTTTTCTCATGTCCTCGTAGTTGCGCAGCGCCCACTGCGCGGCACTCTCTTCTGCCTGCGGGGGCACAGAAGCTGGCTGAGGCCAAGCGCAAAATGATCAGGGTTGGGCCACCAGCCCTGTCGGAGGTCATGCCTGGTCCGGCTGGAAAATAATACGAGAAAGAACAATAGAAAGAGGGAGAGGGAGATGAGGAGCAAGAGGAAAATAAAAGAAAAACAAAAGGAAGAAGAGAAACAACAAAGACAAGGGAGAGAAAAAAAGAAGAGGGAGAAGGGGAAAAGAGCGTGCTTCAACTATCACTCATGAATTTCAAAACATCCCGCCCGGCTCTGCAGCATTTTTGTTGGTAGCGTTTGGTGGTAAGCATCGCTCATGGCCTCCTTCCGAAGCCACAAACATCTAGGCGCCTCTTAAATTGGGCCGCAAGCCAACCCCAAGAAGGCGCCTTCCAAACACAAAAGTGCACGCAAACAAATACAAAAACACAAACACACATACGCTCACACCACCAGTTTTGTCCACCCATGTCCACCCTCTCCCGCCTGAGGCTTGCTGCACGCCCAGTCACCGAGAAAGCTGGCGGCTTCGAGGCATTTGAGCACCTGAAGCTAGTGAGCTGACCAGGAAAATATGCAAACTGTTTGACCCGTATCTGAAATGAAGACGCTAGGCAAACAGTCGAAAGTCTGGATGAACAGGTACGAGTAGATCGGAAAATGCAGAAGGGAACCATTTCTTTGCGGGGGGTTGAAAGCCCGCTTTCTGCGGAAGGGACATGTGATTTCCTAAAACGGAAAGCCTGCCAGGCTAACATGATGGGCGCTCTGGTGCCCTGGATCGCGCTCCAGTAGGTCTGAGGAGGGCGTGGACATTTGGAATGACGAGCGTGTTGCAGATGATGCTGGCAATGCCGGGAATGTTGGCGAATGCTGCGTGGCGATGCCTGTGGTGATGGTGGAGACGGTGGCTGGTGATGCCGGGGATGCTTGCTGCTGGTGAGCGCTGCTTTCCTTGCTTTCATTTGCTTTCCCTTGGTTTCCCTCGGTTGCCCTTGCTTTCGATTGCTTTCCCTTCGTCACCTTTCCCTTTGCGCCCATGTTGCCACAGCTCAGGGCAATCGGATCGCTTTTGTTGTGATCAAATGGCTGCGCCCGCGCCCGCCGCGCAAGGGCGCTTTCCGTGGGATCTCGCCTCGAAGTTGCTCCTGGAGTGAGTTGGTTGTATCGTTTACTTATTTACCGTCTCGCGACCGGGCGCTTAACAGCTTCCTTGCTTGTCTCTGGCATTCTACGGCGGGGTGCTGGGATCAAGCCAGGTGTCAGTGTCTGAGGCAAAGCGCCACGGTACTCCTGAAGCCGCGCTCTCCAGCTTCCTTGGTGAAGTTTGCTGAGCCAAGTGGAGCAAAGCCTCCCCCCCTCCCCCCCGCTCTCTGTTTTGCAGCCATTCCCAGCAAGACCAATCAGTTTGCAGAGCCCCAGGTTGGCCAAGCATCGGTCGTGTAGGCCACATCCTGTGCCAGATTGAGCTACTTTGGGTCAGTGGGAGATCAACATCAACATCCTGTGCCAGTTGTGAATGAAGCCCTATGGTCTACCAACAACTCGCAACATCTCGTGCAGGAGTTTGTCCACCAACAAATCTCGCTCAGAAAATCACCAAATCCGCATCCTTGACAATGACCCTGGAATGAAAGGGCCCCACTATTGAACCCTGCTTAGTGTGTCGCTTGGAAATGGGCCGACATGTCGCCTGGAAACCAGTGAGCTTCCGAATCACATGAGAACGAGCAAGAGCCAATTGCTACATGGCCTGCTTCTGCCATTGTTTTTGTTTTTGTGTGAGCTTCCCCCTTTCGTTCCTTTGCACCAGATTCAACCCTCAGCCGAAAAGGTAACGATTTCTGACCAAAAAACAAGCCCGTGTTCAAATGCGGGGCCGCTCCCAAGAAGCTGTCAATGTGGACATTTGAGTCATTGCGAAGAATATCAAGGAGAACCAAAGGCCCTACATAGAGAAGCGAATATGAGATGAGTGCAGCGCCACTTGACATGTCTAAGGTCTACCTCATTGTTGTCCAACAATTGTTGACTAATGTTGACTAGTGTGAAGAGGCGGATTCTTCGCCAAAGTCCCATCGGCATACTTGCTCCACCTCGAAGAGGTGTTCACCGTGATGTTTTTTTCTCACTAAACGGTCCAAAAACCATGAATGTCAAACGGACCGGCCTTGGACCCAGAAAATCGGACTCAGCCGATATGGACCGAATGTTTGCTGAACATATGGCTTCCCCAAGTTATCAACCCCCATAGAGGATAGCGCGGGGGTCCGACTTTCTGGGTCCGAGTTTGGTCCCATTCAGAATGGAAGTGAAAGGTGCGAGAATATCATCCATATAGTTTCCTTTAGATTCCCTTTCCAACCACTTTCTGCAAAAGGACTCAGATAGCCACCAGCCACTGTACCCCAACCTGTCCTCCGGAGAGATGCCTCTCCCAAGGAAGCGGGAGAGAAATTGACAGAGCGCCAACTGCCATCAGGGCGCGGTGAATGCTTGTGGTTGGGCCCTGTTCCCACCAAAATACCATTAACACGGCTTAATTTGTGTTTACTTGAAACAGATTTGAGGTATGTTTACTTTCTAGATGAGTTATATACACTTCGAAAATTGTTGTCCATACTGCATGAGTTCTCTTCTTGCAGCCAAACTGTGACAGCAACTTGGAAATCTAAACTATCATCATCCACTGTGAGTGGCAGGCAGGGTGCAAGGGTCTAAAAATGAGCTCACATTATGACAAAGTGGCTGAGCAAACCAAATGGCTGTCGCATAAGACGGTTGCTCCACCTTCTGGCGTGAAGCTTCCCAAGCTGTTCCACCACCCACTTCTCCCTTTTACCGAATAAGAACACTCATGCTCATTCATGTCGCATGACGCCCTGCGCCTGATGTCAAGCGTGCCTCCCAGGCGTCGCGTGATGAAATGCGGCCCTGCCTTTGAGCGCCGGTCGGCAACATGTTCGGGTTCCGGTGGGCCTCTCTTCAGGCTTTGCTGATGTCCTGAGTCTCCAAACTCAGGAAACCATCACTCAGAACTGCCAAGGTACGGTTCAACAAGGAACGGAACAAGCGTCCCGCACGTGAATGCCCAGCGTCGCCCAGGATGAAGCTGGCCACTTTTCATGGCAAATGGTTTTGGTCCCCGAGCTCTTTTCGTGCTCATACCTCGGCAAAACTGGCTCTGCATCCGGGCGGCCAGTCTTTGGGACCTGCGCTGCGCAAAACGACCACCTCGCCTCCCAAAGCCTGTTGAACCATCAGGTTTCCTGAGATCGGGCAAGCTGCTAGATTCCCAAACTGGAAACAAAAGAACACTTCCTCCCCCCAAAAACTGGCCTTCATCATGGGTAACCAGGTGAGTTAGCCAGCTGGGATGCTCTCAGCACGCCCCGGGGCCTGTGGTTGAGGCTCTTCCCTCGCACTTTCCTCAGTTGAGGCATAGGCCAAGGAAACATTCAGCTGTTTTTGGCCCCTCCATTACCTGTTCTGTTCAACCCCAAAGTGGGGGTAAAGGCCAAACATGTAAAATGTTCCCAAGCCGTTGCCAAGCATTAACCAATATTGCTGGGGGCATGTTGCCAGGACCTGCAGGCGACCAAACATCACGTCGCAGGTGGGCAATTGGCCGTGTCTTCAAACAGAAGACCCCAAGAATGCTTGTTTGTTTGTTTGGTTTCCCTTCTGAACAACACCCCTACCTGCAATTGGACCCGCCAAGATGCGTAGCTTGCCGAGGTGGGGCCCAGCTTGCTGCTCTCCAAAAGCGCTGCTGGGTCCCTCAGTTGTGAAGACCCTCGCGGCATGGGCGTTCCAATCTAAGAGCTTTGCATCTGCATGCCTCCTGACTGTTCCTTTGCCCATGAACAACAGGACACCCTCAAAAAACCGGGGACCCCGAAATGGAGGGCATCCAAGCCGCGAGATCAACCGCTGGAAGCTAAAGGGCTTCTCCTGCGACGCCTGCGCCGCGCAATCAGAAAGCCAGGGGGTGCCTCTCCCTACGCATCCTGCGGATAGAAATGCATGATACATGTACATAATACACATTGATATATATATATATGCATATATATAGATATGTGCATATATATGTATATACATATGTGTATATATATATATATAGAGATATGTAATAATGACTAACCATATGTATACAGAAAACACTCAAACTCGCATATATATATATATATATACACATGTGTCAATATACCGGCAAGTAAGTTTGGACACATGCGTGCGTGATCATAATATGTAAATCCCACTCATTCACCAACGAAACAGATGCGCAACACCTGCCAACATAAAACAACAGGAAGGGCTAGCTGCTTTGTGCCCTTGGCTTTCACAAACAGGGGTCACCTGTCCATCTCCCTGTGCATGTGTCAGAATGGCGTGGCGAATGCCGCAGCGCGCTGGGTACTAAACAGTGGTCTCAAATCTCAAAAAAGCAGCATAGCAAGCGGAACTAAACATGTGCTTCAGAACTGGTGGCCAACGCAGGCAACGACAGCAACTGTTTAGTTGTTGGATCAAAGGGTAAGGTGTGCGCCTGGCAACAACGGCACATTTGTAGCCGCAAGCAATGGTTGACATCATGTGGGCATAAGGCGGAAAAAACCTCAAACTGCAACATTTTCCTAGGGGCACATTCTGAGCCTACCCAGGCTCACTTCCTATGCAAGGGCACCCCAATCCCAATAGGGACTAATAGCATCTAACAGGGTCTGGCCCAAATAGGGTAGCTTACACGACCCTTTTGCGGCTCCGGCTTCCACCATCCAGCCGCCCAAAGATTGCTTTGTGCGGATGTGCAGTGCAGGGTCCGCCGCACTGGCTCCAACGAGGCCCGCTTTGCGGCGATGGGAGGCCGTGGCAAAGGAAGCCGACAAAAACACGGGCCGCGCAGGTCTGCAAGTGGACGGCTCCAAAGATTGCGCTTCTTGATCAACATGCTATGTCTGAGCCGTGGCATAGCCGTGGCAAGGAGCGGGGCATTTTGGCTTGCGTTAATACTAGTACCTGTTCATGTCAACTTTCTGTATTAGGTGGTCAAGCTGTATTTAAGGAAGGGCGGGTGTCCTAAGGGCGGCCCGCCGCGCAAGTACACTGATCCGCTTGCGATGACGACATGAAAATTCATATAGCCGCAAGTGCCTCAAACTAGGCTCGCTGACCTCCAAAGAGGCACATATCGCCTGCCGACCTTGGGATCTGTTGAAGGGGTTGTCACACCAACAGCTTACATGCATTGTGTTCCGTCCTTGCGCGGGAATTGTTTGCGCACGCCGATCGAGGACAATCAAACCATGAAACCACATGTGTTTTGCTTACCGACTTTGTGTCGCGACAGTCCCGGCCGTATACAAAAACTTGCTTTTGTAAACAGCCGGGCTGTGGGTCGGGTAGGAGGTCCAGGAATCCTTAAATACCGAGCAGCCTTAAATGCACCCCCCCCACGAATTTAAGGAATTGTGTGGGAAGGGGGGGGGTTGTTCCCGCCCCCCCCCGCCCGAATGTAAGGAATTGCGTCGGAGGGTCCCCCCCCCCGAATTTAAGGAATTGTGCTGTGGGGGGGGGGTGCAAAAATCCTTAAATACAACCCCCCCCCCCCCTGAATTTAAGGATTTTCCAACCCCCCACCCCATTCCCGCCCCAAAATTCAGAGATGGGGAAGGGGAAAACCTTAAGTACACCCCCAAACAAGCAAACAAGCGGCCAGCCTCAAATACAACTCTCCCCCCTGTATTTAAGGAATTTGGGTTGTACTTAAGCACCTGTGGGGGGGTTTACTTAAGGTTTTCCCCTTCCCCATCTCTGAATTTTGGGTGGCACGGGAATGGGGGGGGGGGGGGGGGTTAGAAAATCCTTAAATTCAGGGGGGCCCCCCCAATTCCTGACTGGGGGGGGGGGGTGAATGCCCGTTCCGCCCCCCCCCCCCCCCCTCTCCACACAATCCAAATTCGGGAGGGGGGTTGTATTTAAGGATTCCCCCCCCCTTCCCATACAATTTTTAAATTCGTGGGCGGGGGGGTGCATTTAAGGCCGCTCGGTATTTGGACCTCCTACCCGACCCACAGCCAGCCTGTTTACACAAAATAAGTTTTCGTATACGGCCGGTGGGGGGTACTGTTGGGACACAAAGTCGGTCAGCAAAACAACATGTGGTTTCATAGCTTTCTTGCCCTCGATCGGCGTGTCTTGACATTTGCGCAAACAATAGTCCCGCAAGGACAAAATACAATGCGTGTAAACTGACAAATCCCATATATATATATATATACACACATATATGCCCACAGATGGGTCAATTCTTAATTTAAATGTCCAGACGGCCTCACGGCATGATTTCAACAGAAATGACCTGAACCGCTTTTGGCAGGACCTTAAACGCAACCCCCCTCAACAAGCAACCCTAATACTGAAAGTTAACACCTGTTCAATTCACAGCTCCCCAATAAAAAAGAGTACTCTTTGACACATTCGGAAAATGTTTGGCTGGGATAGGTTGGGATAACCAGTCATGCCACTTCAGCAGCTTCAGTTTCTTGCTCTCCCGCCTGCGACTGTGCACTCAGCAGAAGCTGCTTGAAGCGGTCAGCTGCGGCTTTCTCCTGCCGGCAACGCAACAAAACTTGTTCAGCGCGGGCGTTTGAACCTGCGACAAAGCTGAAATCAAACACACACTCTTTCTCTCTCTCTGACTTGAGGAATTCTGACGTGACTACACAATTGTACGCGCCATTGTTGTAAAAGCGCTTAAGGCTTAGTGGTTTGGAATGGCTTGCTTCATGATAGCTGCCTTTTGGTGCAGCCAACCCACATTGAGGCGTTTGAGTGCAACAAGGTTCCGGGGCTCCGTGCCTCCTCTGTCAGCTCCCCAAGAGCCTGCGCCTGCTCCTGCCATGTGTCCAATCCCAATCCGTACTCCGATTAGGAATCCACTACCAAACAGGACCCCTTTCAAATTCCAGAGGAAGGATTAATGGTTGCCTACCTGGCTAGAGCATGTACATGGAACACGTTGTGTCAAGCAAAAGCACGTCCCTGCCAAGTGCGTCACAAATCAGCTTTGCTTCGAAAGGCAACATTCGGGCATCATTAGAGCCCAATGTCCGGCGCTCCAGGCGGGGGTGGGGGCAGCGACATGCATGTACCATAATCTGGAATAGTTGCATGAGTGGTCATCGCACTTTCGGTGGAATTCTACTTCAACAACTTTAAGCACGAAATCGCAAAGAAAGGACCTTCATGGACGAGGCCATGCCCGCGGGTGGTCGTTCTGCTTTGCCCTTCATGCCACGGGTCGAGCCTCCGGAGTAGGGGGCGGCTCGCCCCTCTCCTCACAAGCACATCCAAACTTTTTGGAGCCAGGCCGCCGCCAAACAAGATCTCAAGTCTCATCCACCTTTGCTGCCAACGCAGGATCGCGCAGCAAGCGTCAGGCCTCGTCGGACTCTTCAGCCTGCATCTCCTTTGCTTCCTGTGGGTCTCCATTTTTACGCGTGGCGCAACTCCGACGCAGCAAGGGTTGCTCATGTTTTTCCATGCATCTGTCACGCGCACACACACACAAGACACATGACACACACACACACACATGACACACGCACACATGACACACACACACACATGACGCACGACACACACACACACATGACACACATGACACACACACACACACACTCATGACACACACCACGAGACACACATGACACACACATGACACACACACACACATGACACACACACACACACATGACACACACACATGACACACACACACACACATGACACACACACACATGAAAACACACACACACATGACACACGACACACACACACACACATGACACACACACATGACACACACACACATGACACACACACACATGAAAACAAACACACACACATGAAAACAAACACACACACACACACACACACACACACACACACACACACACACACACACACACACACACACACACACACACACACATGACACACACACACACATGACACACACACACATGACACACACACACATGACACACACACACATGACACACACACACACACATGACACACACACACACATGACACACACACACATGACACACACACATCACACACATGACACACACACACACACATCACACACATTGACATGACACACACACATGACACACACATGACACACACATGACACACACACATGACACACACACACACACTCCTGTTGTGCCTTTATAACTCACTGCTCAAGCACCATGATTCACTCACCTACGACTCTTCTCTGTGATTCCCTCCAAGCTGCCTGTGGCGGCGTCTTCGGAATCATGGTCAGCACGCTGTCCTCGCCAAATGCAGCGGCTTGGCCGCGCTTTCACCAGGTGCTTTGTTCAAATGTGCCATGAGCCAGTTCCATTCTGGGCTCTGGGTTCGCTTCCGGTTCAAAAATGGGGACATGCATCCCTACTCCATAAGCTATAGTGGGACACCAGTACAAGGAAATTCGTCTGGCATGAGGATTTTGCGGATTGACTTTGAAGAAGCCAGTCCACATGGAAATCCTTAAGTCTTAGAGCCCATCAAGTCCGCTTGGTCGCTTGGCTCCGGATCAGGCAGCTTCCTGGCCTCCGTGCGAAGTGCCGACGCAAAGGCCTGCAGGTTTACTCGCGCCGATTGTTAAAGAAAGTCCAAGGGTCACCCACGCAAGGCTTGCCTTCGGTACCACCGTGGGCTTCTTTGCTGCTGCCCCGAAAAACACTGGCGCCGGTGGGGCCGGCGGGGGTGGCGGCACGGGTGGCGGCGGCGGCGGCACGGGTGGTGCCGGTGGGCCAGGCGCGCCCGTTGCCGGCGGAAGAGGGGCTGGCGTGGAGGGCGTGGATGGCACAACCGGCACAGGCTTGCCCAAGATCTTCGCCCCAGGACGCTGGTACGGAACCTGAAAGGCAATCAACAGGCCCAGTGCGATGAACACAGCCGGCTTCAATGCCCCTGGGGTTCCAGCTGCTGCTCGCTTGGCACGATTCGTCGGAGTCGCCTGACAAAAGCAGAACATACTGACCCTCACCCAAACTTCCGGCCGCAATGACAATCGCAGAAGGGATATGCAAAGGGCGAATCATCTGACACCTCTCCCGTTTAACCACTACAGTACATACCATTTTCAGAATGAACACTTGATACTTATGGTTGGAAGTGAATATGCGTTTAACTACGCAGGCAGTCCGGCATGTGATCGCGAAGCAGGAACTGCTCGCAACAAGTGCTGGCAACCAGTCTTCCCAGCAGCCTGAGATCAAATGATCCGCGTGAATTGACATATTTTAGTCCGTCGTTGTCGCTTCTCTCAAACAACCTGGCTGACAAAAATGTGCCCGCCTCTAGTGCCTCTGGTGGCTCCAGGTCGGGGGGCAGTTGGGGCGGCCCCTTGCAGGAAGCTACCTGCAGAGCCTCATCCATCCTCAGCCGAAAGCTCGTCCTTGCTCTGTGTACATACAGACCTCACCTTAGGGGTGCCTGCGTTTTGTGACACGGCTCTGAATACGCTCCATGACTCCATAAGCATGCAATGATCTCGTTGGGCAGGGTCTCAAATTCATCCAGAAAGGGGTGGTATCGGTGCCCGATACGTTACCAGTTCTTGCTAGGGAAAGGGCTGATGTTCGCACGCCGGTCCCAAAACTTCAAGGACAACTGCTAACATGTCATCTGCCTGAGCAACAGACTGACGCTTCTTTGTCTCCAGGGAGGCTTCTATTTCAGCTTCCCACAAGTCCAGCACCTCCACAAAACAAGAAGAAGAACACTGCTCACATCTCCTAAATTGAAAAGGACACCGCGAGCATGTCTCATTTAACTGCAGCGCCACCGCGCCTCTTGCGAGGGGCGAGGTTGCCGATGGCCCCCCGCTTTCTCGCTGACCATGGCCGCCGATTTGCCATCTGCCTCTTTTGCAGCTGGCATCATGCCATTTTGTTCTTCTTCCTTCGGGTTGCCCAGGAGAACTCCACACACCTCCCTCCAAGCTTCTCGCAAGCCTTCCTTGTCTGGAGCCTGGGCGAGTTGCAAGGCAACAAGCAGCCCGCCAGTAGCAACAATACGAATAACAACATGAATCGGCGAAGTGCGCCTCCCACACCACCAGCCCTTCGTCGTCACTGTCCTTGGAGCCCATCTTGCACGCGCGAGAAATGGCGGTTGGGTCCTGTTGGATCTGTTGGGGCTAACCTAACTTACTCCCCTTGCAATCGAACAATGCTGCGACTGCCGCACATTTCAAGTTTAGCTGACCCCGCACTGCGTGGTTGAACGTGTGGCACCACCTACCTCCCCTCGACGATTTGTCCAAATGACAAATATAACCTGGTGTCACAGAAAAACCATTCATATCAGATCATATCCAATGCCTGTTTGCAGGCAAGTCTCGGGAAGAGCCATACCCTGCCTGACCCAGGCCCATGCTTCAGTTTGCCCAGCGGGTGGAACCATGAGCACATCCCAGGATACCTGCAGGAACTGCATGATGTCGACCCAGGATGACTAACCGGGGGGGGGGGGGGGTTTCCCTTTGTAAGAGGGCTGCCTCCTCAGTCGGAAAACAGGAGAAGTCAAGGCACAAACGCGCTCAGAACTAAAGCTCAACGGTTCCCAGCATCTGACATCGCGGATTTTGCTTGACCCTGCCTCGGGGTCTGCCACCGGCATCCTCAGCGGGCTTTCTGCGTTTTCTCAATGCGCCGAAGGGGAACGAAGCTGCACTTGCGGTGGCGCTACGTTGTGGTTGTGGGGCATCTCGATAGAAACGCAGAAAAGGGCTTCGTAGTAAAGGGCTTCGTAGAAAGAACTGTACTGAGGGAATTGGCTTGCTTTTGTCACGCTGCTGGCACTGGAAGGCTTTCCCAATGCTGGCACTGGAAGGCTTTCCCAATGACACTTGCTTCACGGAAGTGGGCTGCATCCCTCATTGCCCCAACCAACACCAGGGGACCCTCTTGCGACGCTCTCACTTCTTGCAGCAGTGGCGCCATTCATAGTCTGAAGCCTCCTGCGCTCTGCTCTGAGGTGCAACCAGACGCCGCACCAAGCAGCAACCAACAAAACACAATTTCCAACTGTTGCTGGTCAGCTTGAGCTTGGGCGATGACCAGCTAGCCCGAGCAAAAAAAATGTCGCCAGTGTTCCATCCCCAGGCGGCTTTCTGCTTTCAGCAAACAAAAGCGGTGTTGATTCTGCACGAGGCTTTCCCATGATCTCCCTGCCACTTTTCCCAAGAAGAGGCCTTTGAGCAGTCAGCCCAAGTCTTGCCCAGCTCCGTGGGATCTTTGCCGCAGGGCAACCCCAACCCCAATCAGGACTGGAGCAGCTTGAGGGAATCAACCATTGGCGGGAAAAGAAAAAGGAGGCTTTTAAATTCGCCTCGGCCCCAAAGGGGCCAAGGGCGCTCAGATCTCTTCTCCAAAGAGAATCTTCGCTTTTCCCCTCCCCCAACCCCCTCCCCGACCAAAATTTTGCCGGCCCGCCCCCCCCCCCCCACCCCCCCCAACCCATGTCGGCTGGCCCAAAATCCTGTCCGGCGGGCCTTGAAATTTTCGGGGTTCGTCGGCGTCCAGCTCCATGGGTCCATTTTTGTCGACAATGTGCCGACAATTGGCCGAAAATCACTAGGCCGGCCCCCAGCTCCGGCCCAGCCCAGCGTGCCAAGGTCAGGTTTGTCTAACGTGTCGGCAGTCTGAGACTGGTCTCAAAGTATGCCAGCCTGAGACTAGCCTCAGGCCCAGTCCCTCAGCCCGCCTGCTGGCGTGTCTTACGTGTCTGCGACTGGCCTCAGGCCCAGCCCAGCCAGCAACTTGCCACCCAGCCTCAGGCCCAAGTGTGTATGACACAGGCCTTGCCCATCCAGCAACGCCCAAGCACAGCTCAGCCCAGCCCGCCCAACCCAAGTTCCAGGCGCAACCAGCAGCGTAGTGTGTGGCTGAGACTAGGCCGGCCCCCAGCTCCCAGCCCAGCAGCCAGCGTGCCAAACCTTGTCTAACGTGTCTGAGACTGGCCAGTCTCACGTGTCTGAGACTGGTCTCAAGCTGCACCAGCTACTATGGGCTGACGTGCCCCAGCCCCTCAGTCCGGCTGCACAAGCAGCTCAGCCCTCCTGGCCAGGCCCTTCACCTCCTGCTCGCGTCTGGCCCGGCCCAGCCCCTTCGGCTAGCCTCAGGCCCAGTCCCTCAGCCCGCCTGCTGGCGTGTCTTACGTGTCTCAGGCCCAGCCAGCAACTCGCCACCCGGCCCAGGTGTGTATGAAACAGGCCTTGCCCATCCAGCAACCCGCCCAAGCACAGCTCAGCTCCAGCAGCGTAGTCCGGCAGCCAGCAACCCACCCATGGCTTTGCAGCCTAGGCTCAGCCCAGCGTGGCAGGTCAGGTTTGTCTAACGTGTCTGAGACTGGCCTCAGGCCAACGACCAGTCTCACGTGTCTGAGGCTGGTCTCAAGCTACGCCAGCTGTCTGACGTGCCCCAGCCCCAGTCCGGCTGCCCAAGCAGCTGACCTCCTGCTCCAGCCAGCAACTCGCTACCCAGCCTCAGGCCCAAGTGTGTATGAGACAGGCCTTGCCCATCCAGCGACCCGCCCAAGCACAGCCCAGCCCAGCCGAAGTTCCAGGCGCAACCAACAGCGTAGTCCGGCTGCCCAGCAGCCAGCAACTGAGACTAGCTTCAGGCCCAGCCCAACCAGCAACCCGCCTAATAAGCAAACCTCACCCAAGCCTACCCTGTTTCAGACTCGCAGGCCTCAGCCTATCTAGCGCCGAGACTGGGCCTCACCAGCCTGGGCTCAACTAGCGTCTAGCCCAGCCCAGTCCGCCTGCTGGCCAGGCCTGTCTGACGTGTCTGAAACTGGCCTCAGGCCCAGCCCAGCCATAGCCCAGCCCACTCAGTGCGGCTGCCCAGCCCGCCGTAAACTAGCTTCAGGCCCAGCTCAACCAACAACCCACGCAAGCAAGGACCAGCCAAGCTGCCCGAGACTGTCCGAGCAGGACGGCTTCCGAACATCGAACTAGCACGGGCGAACTGGTGCGGTCACAAGCTTTCAGTAGGATTCGGTCGGACCTTCCCAACACTGGATTTCGGTGTTCCTGACCCTTCCCTCAAACTAGGCTGGGCCGAGGCGGGCAACGCGAAGCGTTTACAATAACAAGGGTTTCAACATCCTTCAAAGGGGGTGGCCCAGACTGCCTGAAAGCCTGGTGCTACCCACTTACACTCCTCAAAGATCTCCTCTTTGATGTCCTGCTTCGCACTGAGAGAGCCCTCAGGTTTCAACAAGAAAATCCAAACATGGGAACTGGGCGACCCACCTGCCAAGTCCCTGACCAGTTGCGGTGTTCGGCAACCAACATATCAACCCTTTTCTCTTTGACGAACACTCACAAAAGGCAGCGCAGCATGATCATGAAAGGGTCCCAAGTCAGGCCCGTTCCTGGTGCAACCCTCGAATGCAGCACAGTCGCGTCTTGAATGCCTCCTCCATAAGGGTCAAGCACCTTATCGCATGCGCTGCTTTTGTAAGCGGAGGTGTTGACCCCTTTGCCCAAGCGTTGCAAGTTGCAAGCCGCATTTTTGTCCACTTGCCTCCCCCACGGAGCTCTTGACATGCTCCATGCCTGATGGCTTGCACACTGCGCGCGCACAGTCGACAGCCAGGCTGCGATCCCGAGAGCCCTCTACTTAGCAGGCCGGCATGGCGCACAGAGCGCACAGCGCATGCTTCATCTGGAGGCGGATCAGCAACTTGAGCAGATTGCCAGCTGCATGCCCATGCCTGCTTGCCTGGGAGGGCCAAGCAGCACAACTCATCGTCAAAAGTGGGCATCACGCGGGACATCTTGTAAGCAACGTGGCAGCTTGTGCTGCAAGCATGGCAAGATTACTAAGCAGTTGTTTGCAAAAATGGCACATGAGGATGAGCTCCTTTGTCTTGCTATTGCAGTAGTAGTTCATACCAACTGATCTTGGGAACGATCAATTGCTGAAACTGTTGGGGCCTGTGCATCTGTTGTGTTTTGTACTTGGCTCTTTTCATTGCAAGTGCACTTGAAAGCCGCAAGTTTCAAATGTCTGCATGCGCTTGTGGACAAAAAGGACAAGTGGCCGGCCAGGTCTCAGTCGGAGGAGCTTGAATCCGTAAGCGGTCCCAAATCCTGGCCACGCCGGTTGCTTGAATTGAACCAAGGTACACAGCCCAAGTATGTCCACATCCGACCCCACATGGTCAGTTGAATCATGACTTACAGTCATGTCCTATCATGCAAAGGCCCCAGGCCACCTGGCACATTTGTCTGCTCAAGCACTATCCGATCATGAAGCGACAAGCAACTCTTTGAATCCATGTTGATAGAATCCGCGCTCCGAGCTAAACCCCAAAGCAAGTGCCAGCTTTAGTCCTTGGTGTCATTCTTTCAAACAAAATTGCTTGCGGCCTGCCCTAGTGACACTTACAACCTTACTAAAGCGACTTCGATACTCGACTTGCACAACTCAGGCAAAATGTATTGGGGACAGGTCTGGACATGCTTTGACATGGGTGTGGATCCCTCCAAGCATGGAGGTTTCCTGTTGGTTTCCCTGACCCGCAAGGTGGCCCGAAAGGCTCTCATGCCGGCCGAGCAAGCCACGAGCTCATCAAAATAAAGTGTGACTGACATTCCAATCGACATTCTATATTCCCTATGCAGAAGTGGGGCAAAATTCTTTCATGGTTGAAGGATTGCGTCTGAACAGCCCGCTTTGGCGAACTGTTTGCAGCTCAACGGGTTCTACTCAAATGGCAAACTGAAGGCACCTTTAAAAATGCAATGGCTGTGACACTACATTACATGCGTCGCAAGCTAAGGTGATTGATCTTGCAATTCAAAGTTCTTGCTTCCTTTATCTCTGCCTTTCAAGCCTCACCCAGCAGGAGACGAATCTATAAACTGGCCAAACATCGGCGATGATCCATACACCCCGCCAACCATAGAAACACACAAACACACAAAACGGGGCAAGGCCGCCGTTTTCGGCCCGGCCTGTTGATCTTGTTGATCCTCTTGCTTCTCCAGCTTTCTTCTCCAGCTACGGGGCGAGCGCACCGCCTCCACGCTGCAGGTGCCTGAGGCCAAAGCAAAAGACATAGGGGCCCTTTTCTTTTTTGGGCTGACCACTTCTGGTAGACCCCCTTTTCGCCACTAAACTGGGGTAAGGTTCTGGCCTCTGTTTGGGTTTGCTTTGGCGGTCCACTTTGGTTTGAGGATCCGCTGGCCAGCCAACTGATCAGTCCTCCAACCACGTGTGCAAGCACCCACCGTCACCGACCCCCTTTAAATTTGCGTTGACATATCAAACCCTTCCGCCAAACCTTCCGCGAAGCTTCCGCGGTGTGAAGGGTAGCTTTCGCGAGCATGTTTCTGTATAAGTGTTTCCGCGAGCGAAGGTAGCTTCCGCGAGGGAATTCGTGTTCATGGCTTGCTAGTAAGCTTGCTTGGCAAAAACCATCCCAAGGAAACGCAATTCAACAACGTCCCTTCTGCGAGGTTCCGCGGGGGAAAAAAACTTCCGCAAACCTTCCGCGGCTGCAGCGCGGTGCTAACCGTTTTGTTGATATGTCAACATGTACACATGCTTGCTTGAGCCGGGAAAAAAAACAAAAAAAAAAACAACAACAACCAAAAAACTAAACTGTCCCACGGGCTCGTGCCAACGAACCGAGTTGGGCTGGCGGTGTTTTTTGGCCTAAACCTGACAGCGCCTCTCTGAAGGTTGCTTTCGCACTGTAGGAAATTATGAAAGCAGAGAGGCTGGTGCATTCTTACACCTTGCTCCTGGAGAAGCTTGGTGATGATAGGGTTGTTTGCTTCGTTGGGTCAGGGCCGTCTTTGGGGGTTTGCTGAATCAGGGTGGAATTGAGTGTGGTGTCATTTCGGGTTTTGCTTCCCCGGGGCTGATTTCGAAACCCCCAAGCCCTTTTTTTTATGCCCTCAACTCGGGCCCTCGACCAACCCTGCGCCAACAAGACATCGCACTTCATCCCGCACTGACTCAGCAAAAGCCGGGCTGCCGAAGAAGAGGTCCATGCGGTTCTGCAGAAAGTCCATGGCCATGTCTGTGGCCATGTAGGTCCGTAGGTCTTCCAGCAGGACCTCGCCCTCCGAGCTGCTGGCCTTGGGCCACTCGCGCATTCAGGCAAGCTAATAGGTTGTCCAGCCTTTGTGTTCGGCTCACAGTGGGGCTTGCAAACAAACAACGACGCTTTCAACCGGCCCATCGAGACCCCCAAACCCCAGCCAAACTTGCTGAACCGTTCGGCATTGGAAAAGTCGCAGTCGCGGGGTAGTCTACCCATGAGACCAGAGGGCAAAGCCCAAAACAAGGCCTAACACAGGGCACAGCCTTACAGCCCATCCGCATGGACCCTGAGCTCCCGCGACACCATCTCAGAAGGGAGGCTTGTCCCAGCTGTGCGGAATCGTTGCTGGTCCATGTTGCAGCACGCGCGCTCAGGTAAAGCAAATGAGACAAAAAATGCAGCTCAACGACTAGCGACTGCCAAAGCCATTCCGAAAGGAGCTCGGTCACAAAGAAAGCCACCCCCCCACGCCACCAGGTTTGTTGACGTGGGGCCAACAGAAGAATGAGGACACAAGCCAGCTGGGACAAGGAGTGTGCAAACAATGAACGGAGACAAGGGTGGCAAAGAAAGCGGCGAGAAGAGTGGAGTGGAGTCGGGAGAAGAGTGGAGAGAACGGCGGACGGTTCAGGTGGAGTCAAGCCTGCAGGGGGCAGGGCAGTGGGGGTGGGCATGTGGGGTGGGTAGCGACTGCAAGGAATCAATCATCCTGACCCTGTTCGCTTGCCACGAGTGGATGTGCGCACAAGTTCGGGGCTCCCTTCTGGATGGCGGCTGAGGGAAGCTACCAGGAAACCAGCCATTTGCACCGGTCGTCAAAATCGGGGGGGGGGGGGGAACCGCAAAAATGGCAGCTTTGCCGAGTGGTTGGTGTCCATTGAAGCCAACTAGAAAAGGGTGCCCTCAAAAACCAAACCAAAACCAAACCCCAACCACACACACACACACAAACGAGCAAGCAAACAAGCAAGCAAGCAAACAAGCAGCAAATAAACACGCACACAAACAAGCAAATACACCAACACACACACACAAACACACAAAAAAACACACACAAACAAACAAACAAAGAAACAAACAAAGAAAGAAACAACCAACCAGCCAACCAACAAACACACACACAATGACACACAATGACACACACACACACAAACACACACACAAACACACACACACACACACACACACACACACACACACACACACACACACACACACACACACACACACACACACACACACACACACACACACACACACACACACACACACACACACACACACACACACACACACACACACACACACACACACACACACACACACACACACACACACACACACACACACACACACACACACACACACACACACACACACACACACACACACACACACACACACACACACACACACACACACACACACACACACACACACCACACACACACCACACACCCACACACACACACACACACACACACACACACACGCACACCCGCACACCCGCACACCCGCACACCCGCGCACCCGCGCACCCGCGCACCCGCGCACCCGCACCCACGCAGGCACGCAGGCACGCAGGCACGCAGGCACGCAGGCACGCAGGCACGCAGGCACGCAGGCACGCAGGCACGCAGGCACGCAGGCACGCAGGCACGCAGGCACGCAGGCACGCAGGCACGCAGGCACGCAGGCACACGCAGGCACACGCAGGCACACGCAGGCACACGCAGGCACACGCAGGCACACGCAGGCACACGCAGGCACACGCAGGCACACGCAGGCACACGCAGGCACACGCAGGCACACGCACACGCACACACGCACACACGCACACACGCACACACGCACACACGCACACACGCACACACGCACACACGCACACACGCACACACGCACACACGCACACACGCACACACGCACACACGCACACACGCACACCCACCCACCCACCCACCCACCCACACACACACAGAGACAGACAGACAGACAGACAGACAGACAGACAGACAGACAGACAGACAGACAGACAGACAGACAGACAGACAGACAGACAGACAGACAGACAGACAGACAGACAGACAGCCAGCCAGCCAGCCAGCCAGCCAGCTAGCCAGCCAGCCAGCCAGCCAGCCAGCCAGCCAGCCAGCCAGCCAGCCAGCCAGCCAGCCAGCCAGCCAGCCAGGCAGCCAGCCAACCAGCCAGCCAGCCAGCCAGCCAGCCAGCCAGCCAGCCAGACAGCCAGCCAGCCAGCCAGCCAGCCAGCCAGCCAGCCAGCCAGCCAGCCAGCCAGCCAGACAGACAGACAGACAGACAGACAGACAGACAGACAGACAGACAGACAGACAGGGAGGCAGGCAGGCAGGCAGGCAGGCAGGCAGGCAGGCAGGCAGGCAGGCAGGCAGGCAGGCAGGCAGGCAGGCAGGCAGGCAGGCAGGCAGGCAGGCAGGCAGGCAGGCAGGCAG